TATATATATATATATATATATATATATATATATATATATATATATATATATATATATATATATATATATGTTGATCTGCTTTAGGACGACGCAAGCAGTGGTTTTTTGGCAATGGGTCAATCAGTCCTTCAACGCGCTTGTCAATTATACGAACAGAAATGCTAACAGTCCTATAACTACTAGTCAGCTAGGTGTAGCTTATGTTAGCGCTACCGTTGCAGCAATGGTGACCGCAATAGGATGTAAATCGTTTTGGGAGAAACGCGCGAGTCCTCTTATGGCTGTAAGTTTCACGGGGAAGACACGTGCGTAAACATTCACGTGCGCGCGCAAAGTACCCCAAACTTTTTTCACGCCAGCAAACAAATAATGATTTTCCAGAATGTAATTTTACACGAATTCTAAGTAAAACAAAATTGTTCTTAGTTTTTGGGACACTCTCTATACATATGTTGAAACAGAATTTCCGAAACTCGTCCCACATTGCGGAGGATAAGATGAAAAAGAAAAATGTTTCAGAGATACGTTCCGTTTGCTGCAGTAGCAGCCGCTAATTGTGCTAATATCCCTCTAATGAGGCAAAACGAAATCACAAACGGCGTGGAACTCGTCGATGAAGATGGCAGAAAACTCACAAGATCGAAGGTATAAAGTTTTTTCATAATTATAAATCCCACTTGGTACAAGCCCACTTATACCAGAATTTTGTGATCAATATAATTTTAGTTCGCGGCTGTTAAAGGTATTTCGCAAGTCGTTATTTCGAGAATCGTCATGTGTGCACCTGGAATGCGTACGTATTGTATGATTTATCTCAAAATCATTCGTTTAAAATTCTCAGTTTCAACATCACTAGAACAATACTATCAATTAAAATCACAATTAATATTTTTAGTCATTCTGCCGCCTATAATGGAAAGATTGGAGAAGTACGCGTGGATGCAGAGAATTAAACCTTTGCACGCGCCGATACAAATTATGATGTGCGGCATTTCGTGAGTATTATCCTTCCCAGTCATATATCGTTGTCGTATATTTTCTCTCGTTTATCATATTAATACATAAATTCTGTTGATTCTCTTAGTCTTTCAGTTATGGTGCCGACGGCGTGTGCGTTGTTCCCACAAAATTGGTAAATAGTATTTCAATTCGCACACAAATGCTTTTCTTTTCGATTTGTGTGTTGACATACGCATACATATCTGTTTTCACAGTTCTATCAAAGCGAGCACTCTGCAACGATGGGAACCAGAAAATTACGAATTGCTGAAGAAGAACTGCGAAGGCGGTGCGATACCGTCGCATTTGTACTTCAACAAGGGGTTATAATGTTATGTAAAGTTTCTATTTTACAAAACTCTTAGATAAGCGCTATTCCTTTGTAAGTGTCGTTGTTTCAACTGACGCACTTGTGGCGAACTCTTCTGCTGGAACAGATATGAATTCGTGATTGATAATATCCTTATCAAGGATAATCGATTGTTGCAATAGTACCTCCTTTTTTTTAATACGTTTTAGAAGATCACGAAACTTTTACGTGATCTGAATTAAGTACTTAATTTCTAACACCGCCTTGAAATTGTTAGAAGTTAGGATTAGTCATGAAACGTAACACGTATATCTACAAGGTGATAAAATGAAATTCCATCGATATATAGATATCGTACGATAGAGAGCGGTTAGCCGCAATAGGAACGATAAGTAGCGAAGGATGAAACGTTGACAATACACTTTGGTGCTTTGGTAGTCTAATCACAAACCGTAGCAATAATTCTGTTCAAACAAATGCTCAATGATTCTTCTCCAGTGTTTCAATATTAATTTATAAGTTGTTAATGTTTTAATGTTTTAATATTGCAAAGATTCTTTGAGTATACCGTTAGGCACTGAAATATCATACTTAACAATAGTATTGTTTACTTCGTATTGTCGAAGTATGTCGAAAGTAAAGGTGCTGCCATGTATAGTGATATGACAACAAACGTACACATGTGCGATTTCGTACAAATGTGCAATTGATAAGAAATATATTAATATACGTAATTAATATATCAATAAACGTTGTTAGATTATTTCATGAAATAGAAATTGTTACATCGTGGCCTTATTCATTTTTGTAACTTGTGAAATTTCGGATTTCATAAACCGAATGGAGAGCCTAATGACTTTCCGACTAACGTCTAATGTAAATGCTTTTTTCTCTTTATCCATACCGATTATAATCCCTTGTCGTAATAAACTCTGTCCGGGTACGCGCATTCACCTATTGCCTTTTGAAACTCCTCGTACTCGCCTGGACATATTTTCATCAGACCCGGCTTCATTGAACTAAAAAAGAAAAAAAGGATGTTAGCACATACAGTAAGTTATATAATACCTTTAGTTAGAATTATTTATAATTATATGTTAATATATTTAGGATTATTCATAATTATTTTTAGAAAATTTACTTACTTTCTTTGGGGATAAATGGCGAGCGCCGAGGGAATCATGATCAGCAAACTGCGCGGAAGAATCATATTTATTGTATTATATAAGTTTTCTCAGAGTTACCCGTGTGCGACGCAACAGGTCGCGTATCAACGCTATTGCACAAACTATCATTGCACAACACTCATCGATACGTTTGCCCGAAAACTTATGCAATACCGTCTCGATATAACGTGCTATAAGAATTACCAAATTGTGCTCAGACCGATCTCGATGGGCATGGCGAGCCACGGTCGAAGCTGATGAAAACAATATGGTTGTAAGCGTTGAGTCACCAGCGGGACTAACAACATTCCCGGCGCTGCCATTAATATCCTGGTGACAATGCACTCGGAAATACCTTTGATGGCAGCTACTCGCGACATCATGATACATTGGTCCCGATCTTTAATAAAGATCGGAATTCCCCGTGTGATCTCCCGTTGTCTCATAATGGGTAGATTCACTATGTTGCCGGCTGCAACAGCGCAGAACGGAACGAAACGCTGCAACACAAAGACAATTTATTATAAAACAATTTATTTATTAAGATATTTATCATTAAGATATTTATATTACACAGTGTCTGACAATTAATGATACACCTGTTGCATGCAGGTAAAAATCAAACACAAATTCTTCTACCATTTTAAACTACATAAAATTTTGTATTATTAATTAAAGAAAATTGACAATTGATCACACGCAACACAGTAGATGAGCAGTGATGGCAATGTCTGCTGTCGTGTGTTTGTACATTGGGCTAAATTGAGCAAAAAAGTCCTCTACCATCTTGGCAAATAACTATGTAGATTTTTAGTTATTAATTAAAGATGTACTACTACACTTTATCGTGCACTAATCTTGGAAGAGCAACTTAAAAAAGGTTGAAATAGGTTTACTTACTGCAAAAAGGGTTCCTCTGCTGGCAAGTATTTTTCTGAAGCCCAAAGCCGCAGCACAACTCGCTGTAGTGGCTAATGCAAAAGCCTGATGAAACATGTTGACGTCGTCAGGATCATCGCTCATAGGATTTCGATTGGTATAATTAACAATTGCATTGATACCTTGATTAACTAGTTGACACGCTATCACACCATAAGCAGATCTGTGTGACAAGAAAATGAAAGGAATAGAAAATAAAAGTATACAAAATAAACAGAATAATAGACGTAGATAAAAATATGCTTGTATGCTATTATCTTACTTGTAAAACGTCAACATGGCAGTGGTAAGGACGATGGAACTAGGTAACTGGGAGGACATCCTACCGAGCAAGTGCATAAGCTCACCTGTATCAGGATGAAAGGCACTGTCTCTGAGCTTCTTTGCGTAGATTATGTCCTCACGTTGCACACCCGCCGGCTCTTTTCCAGCTCTGAAAAACATGACGATTTTTGTTGAAAATGTTATCACAAGTGAGATTTTCTTGTCAATTCCTCTATTTTTACGAAATATCAGCAAAATTGACCTGAAAGTCGGGTCACGTCAAAGAACAAAAGAGTTGAAGCCTACTTATAATCCTCGCAGAGCTTTTTTGCTTCCCGCAGTTTCTTCTCTGACACAAATATTGTACGGCAATCCGTGATGAAAGCGTAATGCATCCATCTGCCAAAGTATGTGTCCTGGTCCCAGAGTGGCTTGTCGACGTTGATTCTACCTTCAGAATCCTTACTTCGCCGTGCAGACGGATTGCCATGTTGGCTCATTGTCCGTTACACGACTAATTGCGCCAAAAACTGCGGGACGAAATATCGAATGCCCAAAATACCGTGTATCCCGATGAGCTTTTTGACATTCTACACTCGATAACATTTATTCGATATAAATGGCACCGTTGAGAGTTGGTCGTGGATATGGATACCAGAAAATCGCAGTCCGATCGGACGTTTTGCAACGTCGTGAAGTGCGCGCGGAACTTCGTCGCGCCGATTCTCGTATCATCGCGCGCGTTACTCACGTGACCTACACACCAATCACGTGACCTGCGCGACTCTTACCCCCGTATATTTGAATAAATCTCATACTCAATTTCGCAGACCCCTTTCGCGATAAACATAAACACGACGAGTACATAACGACCTTCCCACCAAACGCGCTGCACAACTTGTCATGATTCTTTGACGTTCGCGTAATCGCATAGATGACAAATCGCGTGTGAAGTATAGATCGTTTAACGACGATAGTTTTGATTATCGCGATAGCTTTTATAATTATATGTATAATGATCACGTTAACAGTAACTATGTTTTATGGAATGATTTGTGCGTTTTGTATTCTGATTGTATACATATGGCTCAAATCTAAGGTTTGCAGAAGCGCGATATGGAGCATGTTCAGGTCACAGGAAAAATGTTTAATAACTATTACAAAGAGGAAAAAAACGAAAAGAAAACCGTCAGTAAGTGTGAATTTAATATTGGGACTTGTGCATGAAACGAAAAATTCGGAATGTGTCTTGATTGCATTCAGTAAATCCACAAAGAAAGAAATATAGATTAAGCAATATTACTTAAAATTAAATATATAATTAATTAAATTAAAAATCTCAGACACATTCAAAACTATACTTTCGAACACAAAAATTATGGCCAATTGGTCGAAAGAGAATTGATCATTCATTTTGGCAGCAACATTCGCCTCTGCGTTTTCACTTTATTATTTATACACCAATTCGCTACATTTTTGCTTTCGAAATTAATCATTTATACAGGGCGGTGTCGAAAGGGAAATCGCTATTCGTAGACGACCTCGAAGAGATTGTTTTCCTGATCAACAAAAGTAGATTTTTAATTTGCACTAAATATTCCGACAATTATGCTTGAAAAATTAGGTTTCTACTAAACTAAAATATACACATATCTAAAAATTAATTAAAAAAAAAAGAGAAAAATGTTTGGAGTTTCGTTATTTATGTACATTTAATTGTCAGAGATTATCTGACATTAAATAACTAGACACTGAGTGTCTTAGATTTTTCGACGGGTAACGATCGATTTCAAACGCGTCGAAGAATACATTACTCAACAGTTCTCATGTTTTTCGAATCACCTTGTATTCCCCTCGTTTCCTCTCGAAAGCGCGTAACACTCAGAATATCATTGACGCGATATACGCGAAATATATTAGACTGTTTACAAAATTAAATAGTCGCAGTAATCCATCATCATTGCTAAACGTGCCATTTGTTCTCCCTCTCTCCCTCTCTCTCTTTCTCTCCATGAGAAGTACAATATTGTCAACGTAACATACATTCGCGATCACAAAGAGAAGAGACAGTTAAGATAACGGTGGTGGCGGCGGCAATGACGACGACGACGACGATAACGATGACGCGAACTCGAATTACATCAAAACAGTCATACAAAATCAGTGCTAACGGTTCCCTAACTAAGTCGATACTCGACGACGGACAGTGTCTAAGAGGTAGTAACATCGCTCTCTCATGGTCAACGTTCCTCAACTGCCTTCTCAATCAATTCTTTCGTCCACCACGTCTCTTCATGGAAGATGTGCATTGAGGGCAGTACCACTTGCCTTTGGGTGGTGCTGAGATACCCACACATGGATAGTGAAACCACTCGAATGGGCACTGAAAAGAGACTATATGAATAGATTTGTCCCTTTCCAAATGTCCACTTTCTCTCATGCTACATTAAGTGTATATAACCATAGTGATATGCTCGTACATAATGATATATTTATGTGCAATATCGAAAAGATTAACCTAATCTAAAAAAAAATAATAATTCACGCCTTACATCTGAATTGTCGCATGCAACCATATCACCGTAGGAAACCTGATTGCATATACAATATCGTGGTTCGTTCGGATCATAAGTCCAGTCTGGATTGTCTGGATCTACTACTTGCGTGGTCGTGGTTACAACCGGTGGCGACACGGGTTGTTGTACAGCGGTAGCAATCACACTTGAACTCGGCACCGTGGCTGTGACCTTTCTAATGTGGGAAACGCGATACGCTTTTTAATATTATTTCTATGAAGAATTCTACCGATAATTTCTATGAAGAAATTATTTTTTCAAAGTGTAACAAAAATCTAATTTAAAAGATATGAGTCTGTTAAATAAATAAATAAATAAATAAATAAATAAATAAATAAATATATATATATATATATATATATATATATATATATATCCAAAAAGATTAAAAAACCCAATATCTAATTTAAAAGAATCAATCTTTTCTCATGTAATGCAAACGATTATTTCTTTCTTTTTAAGAAACATCACGTAATCACAACGGTACATACTTTTTATGTTTTTTCGTGGTCTCTTGAATGGCCGCGATGGCAGTCTGCGCTGCGCCAGCCAGTTCTCTGCTGAACTCGGCAGCGTGCACACCGCCAGTGTTAATGGCCTCATAGCTAGCCTTTAAGCTTGCTGATCGTCTGCCTTGTTGCATGGATTGCGTCGCGGCGATTGCTTGTGACGCTGCCGCAGCTATAGCGTTACCACCAGCACCAATATGACCTAAGTTATAACATACTGTTCCCACAGAATTAGCGATAGCCGGTGCTGCCGGCGGCACATTGCTTGTTGTTATAATCGGTCCGGAATTTGTTGACGCCGGTCGTGACTCTGGCAAACTCGTTGTCGGAAGTTTCTCAATCGCCATCCTTTTCTCGACCGACGTGGAAGACGCATTGGAGTCTCTTCTCTTCTCTGATCGTGCTGAAAAAAAAAATATATATATATATATATTTACACATAGGAGAAACTATTTTTCTTCAAGTATTGTTATAGACCTAATCACGTTCGAATTAATCAATTGGATATCAAAAAATTTTACACAATATTTGATCAAATTTCAACCTTGCCTTAATAGAATATTTATCGATTGTTGGTATATTCTCTTAAGTCTTAAGAGTGATAATTAATTATTTAATTAATTATTTAATTAATAATAACCACAGAACAATAGTGTAGTCAGCTTGTGTATTCGTAATATTATATTATCAGCTTGGTTATACTTACAATGACTATGATTATCCCGTGTTCTACTTGATGTGAAACTGTAACGATTCTCTTTTTGACTACTATTCGTGGGTGGTTGATCTAACTCCAGAGACCTCTTCTCCAAGATCTCAGTGATGCCCTTATTGTCGGCTTCTAACTCCATCTTGAATTTGTGCAATTCCTGATCCAACCTCCTCAAATACCTGTCTACCAAGTCGTACATCTGATTGGCTAAGTGCACCTTCTCATCGGCATCCTCTAGAGTCTTATAATATTCTCTTCTTATGGCTTCGTATTCAGCTTCCTTTTCACTGAGTTTCATCTTCTTAGCATTAGAGAAAAAAGTTTTTACTTTCTTCTCTAAACTATCCATTGAGTCTGAAATTATCATATCATATTTATTATTTGCTAAGTTAGCTCTATTTATATTCTTAATAATATAAATATTTACATATATAAGTACAATATATAAATATTTATATAAGTATTCAAACAGCTCCATACTCTGTACACCTAGATCCATTTCTCTCATTTCGGTGAATCGGTCCCTTAGCTCTTGTGGAAGATGCTCAATCACTGAAAATACAAAATATATATTATGCACCAGCAAGTGAATCATCATAAATTGTAAGTCTAAATTTCTTTAATGCAAACAAACTTCTCTTATCCTATAATTCCTGTATCTTATGATATTTAATTATCATTGTTGTTCAATGTGTACAGTGCAAATAAGACAATACATTATTACTGCAACTCACAATACAGTTATATCATAGAGAGAATTTTCTACATAATTTTTAATTAATTCTAAAAATATGGGAATGTATCGAAGTCAACGACAGTTTGTAAATCTTAATAATTATTTATTATTGCTATAACAAATTAACAATAGCATGTATCGACCAGTCGACAGACATCCCCCTAACCTCTCAGTGCGAAAACACGTTGTTAAGTAGATAGTAAGATTTTCATTTTGTAATTATCGCAATCTGATCCTGGAATCGACGTGCAAAAGGACACGCGGTTCGGTCAGCGGAATATAAACAAAAATGGCTACGTTCGTCGCAGGACTCGTGGAATCGTGCGAATAAACGAGACACGAGGTTAGTCGAGCGTCACGGAGAGGTTAGGATCCCGCAGGTGAAGCGAGCACGACGCTTTTCATACTTACTTTCCACATAATCCTCAAGATAGAGCATCGTTTTGTGCCGTCGCACTTTGCTGATCAGTTGTACTGTTTGATATCTACTGCCTGTCGCAGCACAAACGCAAGATTCTCCACGAATTTTCAGGTAAAAGCACCGACCGATCGAAAGCGTGCTCACGCGTAATCAACCACTCTACGCTTGCATTTTCGGTGAGCTTTTAATGATTCTGCACCGTTTTCGTTATGAAATAAGTCGCAATTCTGGCGGAAAAAATGCGACTTACGCTATTATAAAATTGGCGAGGAACGACGTTTGGGATCGATGTAAATTGATTTGGGATTATTATTCGCAACATCGTCGTGTACCTCGCCATATTGTGCGAAGAGCAGGAGCGTAATTTAAGATGCACCGAGGCCCCATTTAAATTCGTGGTGTTCTTTCTTGTCAATTTTCAATTAAAATTTCATTAATTTCGAGTCGCTGATAAAACTCATTCATCTAAAATTCTGAATTAACTTACTTGTTTAATTCTAAAATTTCCGCATTCTTTTTATTCATTTCTTTAATTAATAAAAAATCAGTCACTATTTTATACTAAGATACGCAAATAAGTATTAATTCCGAATCTGAACATACTCCAGGAATATACAGCGTATCTTGTGTATTTTACAATCAATTTAAAAATTAGTATATTGTGTAATATCAATGTTGTTTTTCTCAGTGAAATGATTCGACGAAGTCCGACGCGCATAGATATGCGTCTGGATGATCTGCAGGAGTATGAAGAGTTGCAGAAAGTCCGTGAAACCAAGAAGAAAGCAGAAAGACAGTCGTCGTCGTCATCCTCTATGAATCCTCCCGTGTGGGGCGGCAAAGTTCCGCAAAGCGAAATCCAAGAACGCATCGGCTATGTGTTGCCTACGAATTCGTCGGCGCATAGTCGTATCACAGTTAATGAATCGCAAGATACACGAATTACATAATAACAATAGGATGTGCAACTCAACATTTTTTTTCCTTTTATTTTGAACAATGTAATCACGAATATGAAAATATGATGAAAAATACAATAAAAACCTAATGGACGATATCCACAGTTTTCTTCTTCTTCTTCATCTTCATTGGCATGGGTCCTGGCATTTTGAACACCGTGCTTAAAAGAGAAAAATAAGACGATCACGTGTATATTCTACAAAGTAGGAGAAAGTTATTAAATTATAATTAGAATAATTAAAATACTTACTGACAAGTCGTGCATATTGGACTGAACTTGCAAAAAACTGGAAAGAACATAATATTAAAATTTTCTTTGCAAGTAAAAACTCAGCAATAGTCACAATATTATTATTGAGATTCAAAGTAATCTTACAGCACTGAACATGACGAATTCTAAATAATCAGGTAAATACAATTCTATGAGAATACTTGCCCGATAAACATATGGAACAGACATATCCAATGTCAATAAGTTCCTGGTGACAAAAACAAGCTGCTCTATAATCCACTTTGACTGGTGGTGGGAGAACCAACTTTGTCCTAACACTCGGATCAGGCAAGAAAACCCACTGAAAATCATAGAAAGACAAATGTTCACAATTCATGTAACAATCACATCGATTACTGCACAAAATTAATCACAAGTTTATTTACCAATAAATACTGCAGCAAACCGGCGAGTTGCGGTACTTTCAAGTAATTGCCGCCTGTAACGTCACAGCCTTGCTGCAGAAGTGTCAGTTCTTGGTCCAAGCTACACACATCCAGAATAACATTCTAAAAACCAAGAAACTTTTTTATTGGAAATATCAATTGTTAAAAGAGAGAAAATCTAATAGAGATAAAAGTTGGATAGAGACAAACCATTTTTTGTGCTGTGAAAAATATGTTCATGTAATTCATATATTGCGTAGCTGAGTCGTTGCTAGCAGTAATCACCAATATTCTGGAATGCAATTTTTGGCCTGCAACCTTGTCGCGTTCCAACCGAGCAATATAACACAATGCCATGCTGAGTGCGCCAGAAATGAGACTCTCAGTGTTTAATGGAGTATCCATGGAGATTTCATTGATAATCCGCTGCAATTGCAGACGTACTGTACGCTCTACCATTGTAAATCTCTCATACTGGCCATCCAGCTGTCTGATTTCTGCTGCATTTTCACATGGATAAAGGAACTTGGCGCTGTGACCGTGACATGCCATCATTGCTAATTCATTGTTAGACGATTGCATGAGATGAGCATTGGCGAAGACAATTGTGGAGTCAAGACATTGTGAAAGTATCTTAGTTTCTTGTTTTACTATCTTCTGAGCCGGATTCACGTCCAGCACGATCACCAGCAAGCTGGTACTTATTTCTATAAGATGTCACAGATAAAGAAATAAATAAATAAGTTTTATATTTTTAGTCAATTATATATAGTAAAATGATACATTACCACTTGACATTATGCTTCAAACGTAGAGTTTCCTTTTTTCTTTTTAATTATAATAAAAATAATTATAATAATAATCGACAAATTTTCAAAACACCGCCCGGGCTTGAAGAGGTTATAAACAATCGTGAGACATGGGAACAAACCACAACTGCGAATATTACCGCTTGCGACGGATGTGATCAAAATTGAAACCTTCTCTCAGTCTTATGGCGTCATCTATGACGCATCAATGCACTTATTAAGTTGAAAAAATTACCGTCGGTAAATAAATTATACTATAAAAACATAAGGTTTATTCGCATTGCTTGCACTTTCGACACTGTTGCGCCTGATGCTCGTTGCATACCAGGGTTGTATTCCAAAACATCTTTTTCGAGGAAAATTTTACTCTTAAGGGTCTGCAGGGCTGCGTTTGGAAACGTCACCCAAGTGTACCCATTATGTTGGAGTGAGCGAGATACAAAAGTGAGATAAAAAGAAAGGAAGAGTACTCGAATGACGTTTCCGAACGCAGCCTTGCAGACTCTTAAATCTATAGTTCATGTTACATACACTATAGACTTAAAAGTAAAATTTTCTTTGGAAAGGACGTTTTGGAATATACCCAGATGTGAATAAGCAAAATACAATGAAAACTCTTTCTAAAGAAAGGCCAGTATACACAGGTATTAGGTGTAAAAATATCAAAGGGCAAACAACGCAATAAATTTATAAATAGTTGAAAAAATTAACAATATAGTTAAGTAGAATTATATAATATAAATAATATTAAATAAAATTATTAATTAATACAATATTAAAAATTTTGATAAAGATCATATTAGTTATATTTAGTACAATATATATACCTGTTATTTATCAATTAATATTCACCGATAACATCTACATATGGTGTGACATATCTTGAGCTTCAGAAACTAATTATAATTTGTAAATATGACCATCGGCTTCTCTACTGGCCATGTACGTGAAGAAAGCTCTTTTAAACCATGTAGAAGGGAACTTCCCGAACTCCATGGAGCCCCAGGAAGAACGAGCATAGAAAACACGCGATTTATGTATTTTGCTATAAAAAGTTGCCATCTTCTTTTCAATCTGTTTAAAAAATACAGTGCAATGATCACTCCAAAGCGATTAGTTCAATATTAAGAATTGATATTCATATGATTAAAACTTGATTATTAAAACTTGAAAAATTAGTAAATTGGAGTTGAAAAATAAGAAAAACTCAGATTAGATATTTTCTGTACACAATCATAAATATTGAAAATTGCAATTGACGTAAATGATTAATATAAACCTTCTTCTTCATCTCTTCGGCTCGGTCATAGGTTAGTTCCCGTAATTGATGTGGTGTCATATGCAATGACGGTAATTCAATTTTCGGTTGCGGCATCGTGTCCAATTGTCTCCAAATGAAAAGGGTATGTCGCATTAAAGCTTCTGTAAAAGCAGAAAAAACGAATGAAATGACGATTTAAAAAAAAGAAGGAAATAGCATTTCAATGGTAAAACTTAATTTCAAATTGTTTTCAGTCCATATTTTTGGATTACATACTAACAAACTTATTTTAAGTTTTCTACATAACTATATAACATGTAATTTTCATAAGAAAAATAAGATTGAAAACAATTTGTAAATACAGTTCTTCAAGTATACAAATGAAAAGTACTTTTATCAGTCTCTGAGAAAGCGACACCTTTCCTGTACATGACCCAATCTTGAAGTTGTGGCATCAAGTAGCATTCGGGCAACTTGGCGAATATGTATCCTTCTGTAGCCATCTTCTTCAATTCGGCCTAAGTATTTATTTTGAGATGCATAATTTTCTTTTCCAATTTCTAAGTTATAGATATCGGTGAAGATATACCTTTATGATTGTCATTAAGTCCAATTTGTCACTTAAATATTTTCTATCACCGTCGTTATTCACTCGAGGTATATCGTCGTCATTCTTCTTTTCTGTCTTCTCGATCGTTTGTTTGTACGACGCATCTTGTTGACCACCTTCGCTAGCGGCTTTCTCGGAATGTTTTAAATTCTCACGAGAAACAAGAACGTTGTTAGGTGATACATTTCGTCTACGTCTCATCTTACCGTTAGTTTTCTTCGCGCTCAGTAAATGTGATCTCATTTGTGTCTTAGGCACTTGCATCTTCACACTTGTATCAATCTTTTCTAGCTCAGAATTATTTTCGACTACGTCCATCGATTTCTTCAAGCACGTTTCAGGACAATCATGATACGCCAAACGAGACACATCTTGCTTGTCCTCTCCATAAATAATTCTGAAAGCTTCATCCCTGACTTTTTTTCTGCGTTCCATTTCTTCCTTCAAAGCGGCGTCTTTCCTCGGCAACGGACCAGGGGGAATGTCCATCGGTGACCAATGACGATGTGGTGTGTCTCGCCGCAAGTCTTCCTTGCTCGGTTCCGGTGTCACAACTGGTGTGCACATTTTTAGGCCGTCGACTATTCGCTGAGACGACGACATGGTGAGATTCTCCGCCACCCCTGTTATACAATATTTGACTTCGTCTCCGTAATCGTTTTCCAGCGGGATTCTCTTCACGTCAGATATGATAAACTTTGTATCTGGCACCATCGGTCTCGAGGTGTCGACGATGTGCATGAAAGGTTGCTTCTTCAAGGTTTTCAGCTTTTGTTGACGCGCCTTCCATTTCGCCTTTTCTTCATTCCGCTCCACAATCTTCCTTTCATATTTACACTCGCATACGGGTTTTACCATCTGCAACCTGAGAGGCCTACAATAAATATTAAGATTGATTTCTTGCGAATATTATCAAATGCGCTTTGAATTAAAGGATTGTTTGATATGCTGAAATTATTAAAGATGTAATTGACGGATTTTTTCTAACATTCACGATCGCGATTGTATTAAATAAATATTTCATTTTTTTACTTACTTGACTCTTTTTTTATTCTTTCTATAAGATATTCGACAGGAAGCATCATACTTAGGCTGAGTAAAATATTCCATCAGTGCTGCATCCTTTAACGCCATTTTCACTTTTTCTTCCGGCGATTTGGACTCCATCAGTTTCTGTCGAGCTTCTTCAATCTCTTTCTTCTGAATGTCGCTTTCTTTCGTGATGCTGATTTTATCTATGCGATTGCTACAGTTGCAAGGCTCAGACTTCCGTATTTTCTCTATCATATTTTTCGAGTCGAAATGTTTGTCGAGCAGCTTCGAACTTTTTGTAGCTTCGCCGACGCATATATCGTACGGTGACTCGAGCAGCTCGTACTCTGGAATATATTCGTCGCTTCTTCGAGGACTGATAGGTGGCGTGAAATAAGTGACGCCATCGATGATTCTATTCTCAACTTTCAACTTCGTCCTCCCGCCTGCCTTTTTAACTCTTCTCCCATCCTTTTTTTCATCTACCAGGCCACTCACGTTATACATAAGGATCTTCTTCTTGTTCCTGTTCTCTCTGCATCGACACGGCCGTCCTCCAGGACGAACCGCTACAGTCTCTAGAGGGTAGTCCGGCTCACAAAGATAGACCAAGGTCTTTTTCGCTGGAAGCTCCTGTTCCGATTTTGTTCTCCAGCCACAAGGTTCCTTGGAGATTCTACGGTTCTCCTCTTCATCAATCGAAGTATCGTCGAATTTTTCTCGTGGTCCAATTGTAGAAGGTTGCTCCCATGGAAGAATCGCTGGCTGGACATCGCCTAAAATCTCTGTGTAAGTTTTCATCATAGTCTTCAATCTTTCCATTTCTTGCTTTCGATCGTCGATCTGATCAGTTCCATTTGTTATAATTTTCTTCCTATTTCTCTTTACAAAGACATCTTTACGTGTCTTGTGAACTTTGTTGGATTGTTTGGCTAATTCGTCGGCTTGAATTAAGATCAATCGTTTTTTCTCCGTTTTATTCATTGAACTAAACTTGGAAACTTCGTTTAACAGTCTTACGCTCCTCGCATTAGCTGTGATCTTTTTAGAAGGTACCTGCACATTTTTCTGCTTCTTATTCATTTTTTCCGTATGTTGTTTTCCTCTGGTTTTTTTTTCTTGGACCCCCTTCACCGGCATCTTCGATGATTTTGAGGAAACTTTAGAAGACACTTCTTGATCGATTTCTTTGTCGAACTTCTTCAATTTGTTCGACAAGAAAGTATCCTTTTGCCTATCCTGCGTCTTTAGTGATGAAGATACCGCGGGTAATGAACGAGGAGTCAATTTCAAACTCTTCTCGTAGTCCGTTACAAGTTCTTTTGCTGATGGTGCAGTGCGTGCTATGTTCCAAGGATCGTCGTAAGCAGGGTAATTTGGATCAGGAATAAATTTGTCTTTCTTTTCCGGTGTCTTCTTTTCTAAAGCTTGAATTGGTTTCTCTACTTCGGTAAGTTCTGTCCTTTCCTCTCCTTTTCCTTCCTCTTGCTCTTTTATCTTCATCAACTTCTTGAAAGGATTACGTTTGCAAGATTCATCGCCGGGATACATCTTGCAGGAGTATGCGCCTGATTCGTTTGGTCTATACTTCTTCCCCATGCATAATCCTTCGTCATTTGTCCAAGGGATGTCGTCTTTGCTTGCAGAAAAATTTACGTCTTTGTTGAATATTTGCCGAATGACGCACGCACAGGATGGCACATTTCTGGATTGAAGACTAATGGTCTGAAGTGATAGAGCATCAGGTATTCGCGACGGCACGTGTATTTTCTCCTTTTGAACACCCGATATATAGTATTGAGTCTTGCCATTCTCGTTGGTGACGCCGTTTACGATGATGTTTGTCTTGATTTCATCCTGTGAGGCGACCATCTCCAACAAGTTGACCTCCGAGCCTGTTAGACTCGGCGCTGGAGAATGCAACACCATCGAACCTACAATATATCTGTCACGAAAAATGTCCTTAGATCTTTAGATCGTTAAATTTGTAACTTAATTTTCATTCTTATTGACTCTGACTTATATTTCTAAAAAGTCTGGACTCTTTAGAAAATTTAACATGAAAATTTGAATATTCCAGGCAAAAATCGCTTACTTGATTTCATCTTTGTCCTTCATCACGTTGTCGATTAGCAAATACGGCGTCTTAGTTTGTCGCAGCTTTTCGCGAGTTTTTGCAGTCTGCCGACACGAGCAGCAACTATCACAAACGGGCTCAGGGAACACGATCCTCGTGGTAGCTCGCACGCTCTTGATGAGCTCATTAGCTTCTTTCTGCAAACGTTTGAACTCCTCGTCGATGTTGAACAACCACTCCTGCCATTTCCTAGACAAGTGTTCTCTACCGCTGGGAAAAATTTTCCTGGGTCCGTCGCCGAGCTTCAGAACCGCGAAGAATCTCTCATCGCTGTTAGTGGGTGTCACATCGGCGACACCGGTGATCTCATATGTTACAGAACAACTCGGTGGATCTTCGGACGCGCCGGCTATTATATAATGAGGTTCCTTACCACCCAACAAAGACTTCCTACCTGCTCTAGGTGGTTTTAGCATGCCTAATATAATTAAATTAAAATTACACAAGATCTTTGCATTCACTTAAAACTTTATCAGAGTATATATATTAAAATAACAAAATTGCAATAGTTTATACCGCATATTTTATATTCTACCATCGCTGACTTTTCACTGAGGCCAGTAATTGTGAAGTCAAACTTTTTATTCTCGTCTGGCAGCTGAATAGCGAAAGTTTCCGACTTTTTCGTGTACAAATTTTCTTTGCTTGTAGAATTTCCATATTTGTATCCTGTTTGTTTGTCGATATTTCTTCTATCTATTTATAAATTGATACTTTAATGAAAAAATGCTTGTTTATGATATTATTTTCTATTGATCTATCTTTTACCTTGCTGATCAAAGACTTTTTTCATGTTAATTTCTTCCAAATGTTTGGCGTAAATATTTTCTCCTTCCTTCTTATTGAACTCAGATGGTACTTTATTATTAATGAAAGATTTTCTATATTTCTTGAGTGGTAAAATCACTTTCGGGATTGGAAATAGTTTGTATTCTTTCCGCCATCGTTGCAAGTCATTTCGATAGCTAGCCCAGTCAGGACACTTGAACAATTCTTCTTTATAAGGACATCTACTTTTACGCCTTATCAAATATATCGGCGATCTTGCTAAAATATGAATTAATGGTAAATACAATATCTGTTTAGTTATCAGTTAGTTATATTTATAATAATTAGTTAAACTTACGTTTAAGTAATCTTGGTATAATAACTTCCGGAAGTCTTCTGTGCAATTCCATCACTGTTTCTGGCAATGTTAAAAATGCAATAGCCGACAATATTATTCTCTCATTGCAGTCGTAAAATTTCTCTGCAAAATAAATAGTTCTATTATCCTAAAATATTCCTAAAATATTCAAGGAAATTCTATGATATTCTTTAATAGATTTATTATAATAAATTTTTTCTCTTCAACATTACAAGCAAAATACAGTGAAATTTACTATATCCCTCGTTTTGAAAATCAATTCCAGTTAAAATTTTGTAGACTTCCTGAAGAAAATAAACACTATCTAAATTGCATGATATGTGCAATTGTCTGATGATATTCGGCATAAGCTTGAAGAATGTTGAGATGATACCGATAGCTATTAATATCGTTTGCGTGCCGCTTGTTACTGTCTCCTCATAATCGATACGCATTATATTCGTCAAGTTCATTAAATTTCTCATCTACAAATTTATAAAATCTTCTGGATATTATCAAATATATTAATTTAAATATTTAACCTAACGTAACCTAATCTAGGTTAAAATAGTACATTAAAGGAAGATTGTGATATACTTTTATATCGTACTTGTTTTGGAGAAAAGTCCTGATACCATCGTGGACACTTCAAATATGACATATAACTCTTTTCTGTAGATAATGAACAAAATTTGCTTATTGTAGTTAATTTATAATTACAAATAATAAATTTACAAGATGTGTATTTTTATATTGAAATAACAAGATCCAGGATAATTTTTATATGTGGTAATTTTCATATAAGTCAGGTAATTTTTATATATAATATAATATTATATAACTAATAGTTATATTATAACTATTTTTATATATAATATACAATAATTACCTGATAAACAAGATAGATGTTATATACTTTTAACTTAAGAATTAAAGAAAAAGACTCACGTTTTTTTTTTGCAATTTTAATTGCTCTATCAATCATCTCATTATAAATTCTTTGTTTTTCCACCCAGAAGATATCCTTTGCCAATGCAATCTCATCTTCCAGATACCACCTTACTGAACCATTGTTTCTATTGCTTTGAAAATAATTCAATTTACTGCTCTTTAGTAGTTGATCCCTTGTTACTGATGTTTTAACTTTAATATATTTTCTTCTTTCATGATTTTGTTGAGGTGTAAAGTATTCAATTTGTAGCTTAGATACTGGACACTCATGTACAGAAGTTATTGTTGTTGGCAAAGGATTATAAGGTGGCATTCGTTGATCATATCTTGTTAGTGGGTCAAAGCTATTCATAGAACAACAAAATTACATTAAAAATGACATTAGTTTTGTCTTTGTTTTCACACATACACACACACACAGTCTTCTTTTAGAAAAATTTATATCTTAAATAAATTATAATTTGTGCACTACAAAAATCATGTGAAATTTATATGAAGCAAATCAAGGGAAAACAAATATTTTATACAATCAGTAGGAAAAACACATGTAAATTTAGAATTGTATATAAGGAATTCTACTCATTAATTTTTTATTAATTAATAATCTTGTGTAACTGTTTTAATCGTGTGATATGTCTACTGATATTTAATACTTACTTTTTATGATAAAGCTGCATGCATGTGCTTGAAGTTTTTGAGAAAATTTTTACCATTTCGACGAAACTGATAATATGTAATTATATAATAGAATATATGTTTAAATTAACTTAGTAGAAAGAAATACTTGACAATTTAAAACACATTGTAGAAAAAGTGGTTATAAATATGCGACTGAAACTCGACAGTTGATAATGTGTGTATATATATATATATATAATGTGTGTATTGTGTGTGATGTGTGGTGACAATAAAGAAAAATATCAGATAAAGGTTTGAATAAATTCCCATCTAATCTTTCTATTTGTATTTAAATCGTTAACATAAAACTGAAACTGTAAATAGAGAAAATCTTTTTAATCTAAAAACTAGCTAAGAGCAAAGTAATTTTTATTTAATTATTTCCCGCGTCAACATTTCGAGATTTAAATATTTTGATAAATAGATAGCGATAGCGAGGGATTATAATTCAGCGCGCATGTTATCCATCTATGATTTCGTAATACTGGGGGGATCAAAACGGAAGTAGATAGCGTTCATCTCACGAGTATATAAAGTCCGTGAAAACCGGGTGCATTCCAATGCATTCGGTGGTGCGGTTTGTATACGCAGGCGTAGTTGTTGCGTTAGGTTGTGAGGAGAGGGCAGAGCGGTAAGTTAGTTACATTGTTATATCTTATCTATTGTTACATCTTCCACAAAAAAAAAAGAAAGGACTTTGTCCATTTTTAAGAGCGATCTATTTGTTATTTGTCGTTCCTCCGATAATATTTATCGCTCCACGAGGACATAACCACGTATCTTTTTTGTCGAGAGCTAATATGTTGTCTCGTAAATGTGCCTAAAAAATACTAAAAAATCTGGTAAACTTTGAACGCAAAGTGTTGAATAAAAATTTGGGAAAACATGCTGTGCGGACATTAAAACGTAATTAATTGGATTTATAAGGTCAAATGAGTGATAATATACTTTAGATAAATAAATGTTGAATTAGATTTTCGAGAACGTGTGTGTGTGCGCCTTAGAAGACAAAGGACTGATGTGCACTTCAGCTTTCATTTATAGAAATGTTAGAATTTGTAAACGTTCCAACGTCTAAAAATATTTTCTGAGCTTGCCAGTAAATTTATTCTCTAATCACTAAAATATTAACTAATGAATATGGTTAAGATTGTATATATAAAAATTCTGAGATATTAAATTCTCTAAAACTTTTACGACTGAAAATTGAAGAAATAAATATTAGCACTTTTTCTTATCTTGTTAGAACTGATATAATATTATAGTCAATCTCAGCTATATTATATATATTGCTGAGAACTATTATTCAAAGCCAAAGCGTTATTAGCTCAAGTAAATTTAACTCTATTTAAGTGTAGCTTATATATGCATTCCATTTTAAATGCAGGATTCACAAAGGAGTATTGAAGCTACCAATCATCTATTGAGCACTAATAAGTCAAATAACACTAACCAGGATCATATTATATCACAAAAAGAGCAATTGTCCATTTCAAGTAATGCATTGTCTAATATAACTGAAGAGGATGTATCCCTTAATGTATTAAAGATTGCAAGAGATGATATACAAATTGATACTGTGTTTAGTGGAAGACAATCACCTATACAAGAAGATACAACATGCAATACTATTACATCCTCAATAGATTCAATTTCTAATGATTCGTTGTTTATTTCTAACTTAAACAACGATAATAGGATTGATATAGAGTCTCAAAAGAAACAGCTCTACAAAGAAGAAGACACATTAGATTTACAGTGCTTTGCTGAAACAAATAATGTTACTTTGCTCCAAAAGAAACCTTGGAATTATGACCATATCTCAAAACCTATAAAACAAACAAATATAATATATAGTTCTAGATCCAAAGAAAATCTTTTAACTCTTAAAAATCAATTGGATATTATCAGATCAAACAACGATAATCAGGATAATATCATATTTCAAGAAGAACAGTTATTTGAAACAGGAAAAAGCAAAACTTTAAATACTATATGCCAGGAAGATATTGTAACTACAAGTTTGATTGATACTGTGCCTCAAGCACATCAACCAATTGCAGAAGATACAAGTGGTCATTTACTATACCACAAGAACATTGCAGTGACCTATTATTTTTCTCCTGAAGAGTCAGATAACCAGGAACCAGTTAACTTAATAAATTACAATTCACAGGCTGAAATTCAATTTAATAAAGAATATAATAATCAGCTCAATAAACAGTTCAGTAATCAAACGAATAAACTGATCATTGATTCTTTATCCCAGCAAATATTTTTAAAGCTATCACTATTAAACAAAGGTACAACACGTGTGTTACCAACACTACAGATACCTACAAAAATAGTGAGGAAAGAAGAAAGATCAAATCAACAAAGTTCAATAAAATTGTCAATAGACAGTTCTAAATATAAAGCCGACAAGATGCTGAAGAGAGTAAAAATTATAATTGTTGGAGCAGGTGCATCTGGCATTGCAGCTGCCTCAAGACTATTGCAAGAGGGAATAAGTGATTTTGTAGTATTGGAAGCTAATGATAGGATTGGTGGCAGAATAAACACTGTTGATTTTGGTAAATAATGATACTCTAATCAATTTTCAATATACTCAAAGTATAATTTTATCTACAGTTATTTCACCCTATTTGAGTTAGCGTATTTGATTTGTGCATTCAGATCTATTTGTCTATTTATAAAAATATATATCTAACCTTAAGTTTCTAATATTTTTAGGTGATAATGCGGTGGATCTTGGAGCTCAGTGGGTACATGGTGAGACAGGAAATGTGGTTTGTGAGCTTGCTTACAAGTATAATCTCCTGGGTTCATTCTGCACTTTCTTTGACGCCAGCAAACACGAGTTTTTCACCATCAATGGAGAGAGGATACCCAAGGAAGAAAGCGTCGAAGCTCTCACGATTTATTATGACATGATGAAAGGAGCACCTGATGAGCTCAGCATAACAGATGGGTCTTTTGGAGATTATTTCAGAAAGAAGTAAGTAATTTTATTATTCCCTGAGTTGAGATTTTGGATTCTTGTTAAATTTTTGTGGCAAGAATTAACTAGAAAATAAATTCAAACGTAACACGATAAGAGATAGAAGTTAATTGAAAGATTCTAAGAGATATATAGAGAGAAAAATATATACGTTTTAATACTATATATTAATAATATTATATATTATAAGGGCCATGTGATGAGATTATTTTTGTTAGTTTTATCGGAACTGTTCCAAGCACCGGTTCGGCTCTCACGTCAAAATTTATGCAAGAGAATATTTTTCACAAAATCGTCGATATCACTCTCGCGAAACCATGCTTGTAATGTGGGATGTAGGTTCGCTCGAACGACAGTATAAACATCCTTATCGGGCACGATGCATCTGATAAGAGGAGAAAAACATCAACGAAAGAATGTTTAATTGTTCCACATACTTACATATTAATCTCGCGAAAATGAGCAATATTTCATTGGACAATATGCGCGTACACACCTCACGCGATTGTTGCAGCACTCATTCGTCACGTATTCGTACCTCAACAAAGAATATATGTACTTCAAGTACTTCGTATCCAGATTGTTATATACAATCTTCTCGTCTGTTTTCGCAAAATTATTTATCATCTCGATGTATCCTCTAGTTAGTATCGGTATAATATAATTGACCTGAAAAGGGAGGTAATCTTTTACGTTCTTAAGCAGATAGAATTCCTTCATATGATCTTAATTTAATTTAATCGAAGATGAGTCGATTTTCACATACCTGCTTGAAGCAATCGTCTATAAATTCTTCGGCGCGACTATAAACACCTTTTCCTTGTTCTTGCAATATGAGTACGCCGATAGGCGGTTGCTTGGATCGAAATATCTTTGCGATACACTCAGCGATTGCCAAACCGTCTCCGGCAAAAGTCAGCATGACTATGCAACTGTATCTTTGCTTAGTATGCTGATGCGATAAAAGATAATTATTATACGTGTAACGATACCAAAAAACTTTTACTCTTTTACGACAAACTTTCGGAAATACTTAAATTAAAAATTTTGCAACCTTTTGTTGATCATCTTGTGGCGTGTGTCTCATTTCACTTTCTGCCGCTCCAGTCCTACATTCTTCTGTCAATATAGGACTCAGCACTAACGGTGCTCTTGGTATATGCTTTGGTTGAATTACTTCCAATTCTAAAAACAACAAAAAATAATTAGTCTAATCAGATATAATCTTTATAGTCTTAGTCTGATAGTCATCCAGATTTAACTTATAATTTATTCTTTTATGGCATAAGAGAGAATAACCATCATTGTTTACTTAACCATCGATGGCATTTTGCGATACAGCACTGACTAAATTATGCACATAGTCCTTCATCTCATTTATCACATCAAACCGCTCTATTTTTTGCAAAGCACTCAGAATTTTGTCCATTGTTGCCTCTCGAGACTGCACATAAGTCAGAAGCACATAATATGTTGGATCTTGCAGTCCCTTGAAGTCGTAGTCTATACACTGAACACAATGAAATAATATTACAATTATCACATTAGTATCATAATATTAATATATATTCCGTTTAGAATGAAATATGAATATATATATGATTTAGCGTGCATTTGTGCATACTTATCTACAAGCATCGGATATCTTACACGTATCTGCTCCATTGTCAAGCCCATGTGCGCTGCAAACTCCTGCCATCCGTTGTAAATCTTCCCCGTTGCCGTGGAGCTTAGCAGCAAGCATAGCTTCTGCAGCGTAGCCTTGCCAATGTGCTCGAACAAGTACGCCGCATGAATGCGCGACGACTCTCTCTGGATATTTAAGGTGACGGTGTCCAAGTTAGGCGGCCCATCTACTTCGTTCCTGAGTTTTTCCAGCTTTGGATCGATCTTCCTACAATATTACATCCTTTGTCATTTTCGTGCGGTGATATCGTGTGAGAGTGTATCTTAATATGTAGAATTTTTCATCGCTTGAAAGACTAATAATATGAATGACATTAATATGAGAGTTAATAACTGTTGCTTTGTTGTTGATTACCTTTGTGCAAACATCTTGCTGCGGGTTTCATTGAGGTTTGTCACGGGTAATCAAAGCGATCTCGCTCCATTTTTTGCTGAGATTTCTTGTAACAAATTGTTGAACTATGTATTACACAGTCGTCATGTGTTTTTATACACTTCAGGTTACCAAAACTACATCCAAAATATCACTTTAAATTTAGAAGCATGAACTATACTTCCCGAACATGTCGGAATACTTGCCATATGCAAGTGGCAGTCAGTGTCTCCTCCCCACCACTATCTTATCTAAGGTTCATGATGATTCACACTTGATTCTTGCCCGCCCGCTGTTTGAATCGCAGAAGAGTACGCCGAAATTTCTGTTTTTCTTCAACAAAATTTAATAATATAATATATAAAATTTAAAATACATATATATAATATAAAACTTATGAGATATTGTTAGAGTAACTAAGATGAATAGGATTTTAAAGGAGTGAAATATTGATCTAAAGAAGGATGCAGATGTAGGATTCTACTAATAATTAGCAATAATTAAAATTTTGAAATTAAATTTAAGAGACATCTTAAATTTACTATCTTTATGTAAGACTGTTACAGACAGTAAGACTGCTACTATTTTTATGTAAGACATTTTTTATAAATATTCTTGTGTTTCGTATATTAATTACTGACAATATCGCAGATTTTACCAGGTTTGTACGAAAAAGACTTTCGCAAATTACAAACGAATTCCACAATTTTTCTCATGGATGGAAAAGGCAGAATGTTCCATAGAATGCAGCGACTCATTGTCTGACGTTTCCGCCAAACGCTTGGCGGATTACTGGGAGTGCAAGGGCGATAGTGTGCAGAATTGGAAGGAGCGCGGTTACAAAACGCTCTTTGATCTTTTAATGGTACTTTTAGCGAATTATTCGATAATATTAAGTCAAGAATTTAATACTTAACACTTTAATATTAATATTATAGTATTAAATTAATGTCTACCAATATAAATTTCTCCTCTTAATTATTTTTTATTATGATATCCATAGAAAAAGATCCCGAATGAAGAAGATAGCTTGCCAGTGATGGAGAAAATAGAATACCACAAAGTCGTAACAACTATTGATTATAGTTCCGAGGAAAATGTTACAGTGACAACTAGTGATGGTTGCAAGTACATCGCATCGCATGTTATCTTCACCGCGTCTCTAGGTGTTCTAAAGAAGAAACATTCCACGTTATTTATGCCATGCTTGCCCCCGAGAAAGAAACGCGCGATAAGGGTATAGCAAAAGTTTCATTAATGACAGTACAATGAAATAAAATTACGCGTGATATATCTTATACACGGGCATATATTACCGAAATTAATTAATATCGTTCTATCACAGGGATTATCTATCGGAACAGCCGATAAGATTTTCATGGAATTCCCATACAAATGGTGGTCAGAAGATACCATCGCCATCAATCTTATCTGTCTTGAGGAGAATAAGAAGTTGTTCGTGCAAAAATATGGCGAAGTATGTAGATTCAAATGCGATCAGACTAATGTCTTTCGTTTTCACCGTCATATATCGTTGTTGCGTTAATTTCATCAATTCTCTATTTCAGGAATACCAGTGGCTCTGTGACGTGTTCTCGTTTTACACTGTTGATTATCAGCCGCGTGTTTTGTGTGCTTGGATAGTTGGAAAATACGCTAGACATATGGAAACCTTATCGGACTCTGTCGTGTCTGACGGATTGTATCGATTATTGCAAGAATCGATCGGAAAATATTATGACGTCATACAACCGACAAAAATATTGAGGTAATTTTCCCTCAGAGTTAATTATTCTCGAGAGAAAATATTAATACTTTTCTTTGTTTTTTTGTTTCAATTCTTAGGTCCAAATGGTTCACAGATGAACATTTCCAAGGCTCTTATACCTTCCAAAGCATGAACACTGAAGACCTGAATGTAACACCGAAGGATTTGGCTGAACCAATCGTAATAAAAGGAAAGCCCGTTAGTAATGATTATGAAAATAACACAACATTTCTTAAATAATAACGTTTACATAATTTTTTTTCAAAATTTTCTCATTTTTCTCGACTGTCCGATCAAACAAAATTAACTAAGAATATTCTAAAACAAATTCATCATTACAATAATTATAATATCGACGATATTATCGATAACATACGATTTTAATACGAAAATACTGGTTTTTTCCTTCACTTTTATCTTATTCATATATTCTTTTTTTTACGTGACTATTAAATCCTATTTTAAGAAACTCTTGGCGTTGAACAATATATATAATTATTATATTAGGTAATTCTCTTCGCCGGAGAAGCCACACACGATCATTATTATTCCACTGTGCACGGCGCTGTGGAAACTGGTTTCCGCGAAGCAGATCGTTTATTGGATTTTAATCAGAGGTAAGATTACACATAACACAGCAATATTAACAGTGCAAAAACATGATATGACAATATTTGATAGAATGATCGTCAGTATTTATTTTACAAAATTTGGATTTGAATTTAAAAATTTTGTGAAATTAACTATTTAAAAGAGACCTGTTGAGATCTTTCTCTTTATTTCTCTTCTTCCTTTTTTCTCTTTTACCGTGTGCAAGAATGCCATTTTCTGTTATGCGTTTCTGTAAGCGCTTTACACTTTTGACTTGAAATTAAGTGGAGAATGGATTGAAGTATTGAACTTCTAATTTACAAAAGACATAACGTGTTGTAAATTAATTTTTTTTTTTAAATATTGTATAACCGTGTGTTATATTATGCTTGTTAGTATATCTCTATCATAGATATTTAATTTTGCATGAAGCTCACATGTAAAGTGAAAGGTTTCTCTTTGCATTGTTGTTGTTTTCAAATTTTTTTGTATCTGGTATCAAATCATATCTTGCAGATATGATTTTGCAATTATATTTGTATTGATTGTGCATGCTCTTTCTCAGGCGAGTAAACTCACATCTCTAACTACACATCCCGCTTAATGAACGGATTATGGTAAACTATAAAATATGCTTGCAACTTACGATATCTACAACAGGTATCTTAAAAGCATGGACGACCATCGGATTTATTTGTAAGATGATAAAAAAATCTTTATAGAGAAGGAAATTTACTTAAAAAATTATAATATATAATTGTACAAATATATAACGCATATAATTAAAAATAACTTCTTGTTATATAAAAACAAAAAAGATGATACTAGTACTTGTGATTATTCATCAATATTATAGCGAGAATATATAACAAAATAAACAATGTAGATGATAGTTAAATATGTTGTGTATAGTAGAATGTTTATTATTGTTAACCCTTTGCAGGCGTATTATCTTCAAATGAACAATACAGTACATCAATGAGAAATTTCTCTGCAATCTGTAAACATCATTTTATCTTAAAAAAAGATGGTGTGTCTGTAAAGATACATTTCTTCAGTTTTACCAAGGAAACGATGTCTTCACTTTAACCTTGGATTTTTACGAGCAATTCGTCGATATATATATATATATATATATAAAAGACTGGAGAAAACTGTAGGCTCTGTACAACGTGCGGATACATTTTAGATTCAACAATATGTGATCCTCTCGATCGAAGAAATTATCTTTTGTAACGTATTATCCTTATTTCTTGACACATGCAAATTGTACCAAACAGTGGATTTATTTCTATTATTTTATCTTTTACATTTGTGTCTTGTCAATTTCATTCAGAACAGCTCATTTTCATATCTTGAACTATCGTTACCGTATCACAAGATTATTATTACTATACCATATCATATCAAGATTATTATAGATACTATTATCACAATTGTTATTGTTATCTTCATCAAATACATTATTTGCAGAATTCAAATCAGATTCGTCGTCAATACTTTCAATAATATTATGCTACTCTTTTATGTTTTCTTTTGTATTAAAAACATTTTTGCATAAAGTTTGTAAGGTTCAATAATAATGGTAAAAACGATAATAAAAGGTAAAAATATGAAATTAACGATAAAGGTGGGTAATTTTCGAAGAATTGTAAATATTTGGATTTCCACACAAGCAAAGAGGCTTTGCTACACATATGTTCAAAACAAGACAAATATAATCGACTACATTGCGATATTGAGATCACTTTGGAATAAGAAAGGAATGTAAATGATACCTCAATGTATCGATGATTTGCGACTTGTTAATTCGTTTTGTCGACGGTTAATTCGTTTTGTCGACGTTCGAGACAGTCAGTCTCCAGGGACCGACACTAAACTTTCCATTTAGCCGGCGTCGGTTCCGGCTAGGGACCGACTCTGTATGGCCAAACTCTGTATTTGCTGAGCGCTCTCCGCCGGCTGAACGGAAAGTATATCAACATCGGCTTCATCTCGAACGTGTTAAACAAAATAAACATGTGACCTTAATTGAAATTCGACTTATATAACTAGAACAGTTAAGATTCACATGTCGTAGGACATGTAACTGCACAGTTTTACAGATAAATATGAATTAATTACATATTAATTACTAATCACATGGAAAGAATATCGTCTAATATTTCATAAATTAATTAATTGATATAGAAAGCGCGGTTGCTTAGATCTACTGGTTCAAAACATAAACAAGAAGATGCGTTTAAACGACGAAACGATGGATGAGCCGATGGAAACATATGATGAGAGGACGAAAATCGTGATAGTAGGCGCAGGAATTGCGGGGATCGCAGCAGCTGCAACACTACAGAAAGCAGGATACGATTTTATCATTTTTGAAGGTATATTTGTAAAATATTTATCAAGAATTTATTAAATCGTCATCGTTCTGTAACATTGCTCCTATCATTTATCTATATTTACATAATAATGTGAAGCTTTTGTGTTGTCTATGTGAAGCTGTTTAAATCGGTTTTAAATTTTAACAGTAGACACAGTATATCCTTTTCCATAGTTCTATTCAGCTAATAACTGTCTATTCCATAGTTCTATTCATATCTCCTCTTACATAATTCTATTCAGCTAATAACTGTCAAATAAAATTTATCGAATTATCTTCGTGTATTTCGCAGCTCAAGATAGAATCGGAGGCAGAATTCACTCTGTTCCGTTGAAGAACGGCTGGATAGAATTCGGGGCGCAATACTTACACGGTGATAAAGGCAACCTGGCAGATTATTGCTACGAAAAGAATTTATTGTCAGACTTTCATGGCACAGACGGCGAAGGATTATATTTACGTGATAATGGATGCGCAATTTCGGCGGGTACAATCTTGGCGTGCGAAGTCAACGATAACATATATGATACTCTACATAGCGGCGAACAATTTTACCAAGCCAAAGATGCCAATGATTATATATCGAAGGGTGAGAGTGTCGGCTCCTACCTAAGAAAAAATTTCGACCAGTATTTATTCGAATGCAACGATCCTCCACAAATCAGAAAGATGAAAGAGGAAATCTTCGATTTTAAAATGCGATATCTCCAAGTGGACAACAGCTGCGATTCCATGTACGATTTGTCTGTGAAGATGTGGGGAAAGTATGAGGTAAGCTTAATGAATCATTAATAATGAACGAAATATTAAGCATAATTAATATAAATAAAAATTAATTATAAAAGCAACATTAGTAATGATGATAATAACGATCCTCCATAGACCTCCGGAAGTGACAGATATCAGATGTTCAAAGAAGGTTACATATCAATATTGAATAATCTGATGGAGGATATAAGCTCGGAAAAGTTGCGATTGAACTGCCCTGTGAAATCTATTCGCTGGCGTGATTCCATCGAGTCTCGGAGCGATTCAGCGATCCTCTTAGAAACCTGCCAAGGGAAGCGAATTTTGGCTGACGCCGTCATTGTCACCTGCTCGCTTGGTGTTCTGAAACATGTCCACGAGGAGATGTTTGATCCACCGTTACCGCGCTCTCTGAGTCGTGCCATCGAAAATCTCGGTTTCGGGGTAGTTAATAAAATCATCCTGCGCTACGATGCACCTTGGTGGTATCCTACCGTGACTGGTTTCCAAATATTACCAAACCACGATCGACCTGAGTTCGAACCATTGCCAAAGTGGACCACGTATATCACAGGATTCGACGTTCTACATAGTCATAAAAATATATTAGTAGGGTGGATCTCAGGGGAAGGAGCACGTGCCATTGAGCAAATCCCCGAAGAGACAGTCAAATCAATCGTCACGACGTTGTTGTCGCGATATATGAATCGTCCAATTCCTTTACCAGCAGATTGTTTCACGAGTAAATGGTTTACTAATGAGTACATTAGAGGAGGTTATTGTAACATCACGACAAGCTGTGAAACCGCAGGTGTCTCAACGACTACGTTGTCCGAGCCGGTCTGGGCGAAAGTAAAGACCGATCCTTTAGATCAGGTAAGATTACTGCATAACTCCAAAAAACTGAATTTTTGTATTTTATCCTAGAGTTTCACAGTCGCGCGTTCAAAGCATTCTGAATTATCAATATTCTATGACTGCGGGTGTTTTAAGCTCTCGTTATAATTTCGCTATAAAGTCAAAATAAAGCAACATTATAAACAAAAATCAATTTTCTATGACATATTGAAATATTTGCTTTCTTCTATTTGTAAATGTAACAGATTCCGGTCCTACTGTTAGCCGGCGAGGCCACGCACGATCATTACTTCTCGACAGTACACGGAGCTTATGAGACTGGAATTAACCAAGCCAACCTATGTGTGCTATTCCACAAAGATTCCATGTAAATATGCTAACGCAATACAAGTTTGTTAATATATGTTTGTAAAACGGGATATCTTCTATTTATTGCGAAGTCGCTTGAAAACAAGAAATTTCCTGTACTATCACTGAAATTCACTACTATCACGATTTTTTATTACTAATTGTAATTCACTTTCGACTCATGTCGATATTGCGTATTGTTAATTTAGTTATTAAGCGACTTCAATTTTTTCATTTTTACTTCTGCATTGTTTATTGATTTTCATTTTCTACTTCGAGAACATGTCATTTCTATTATTTCTATTAATAAGTAATACCGAATTAGTCTATCTTTTTCCTACTATTTAGCATCTTCTTATCTTGTCGATTTTTGCGAAGTAGACTGATTTATCTGCTTGAATCAACTACATCAGAATCGCAAATTCCCTACTGAGCTGTCAGCTACCAATCGGAGATCAGCAGTATACGTTTTTGACGCTTATCCCTGGCGAATATCTCGTCGCATATTTCAATCTTTTCTTTTTCTCATTCATTCAAACATGAGTATTGCAGAAGAGAGGCGGCGTTTAATGAACCTAATTCATCAACGTGACTTTAGTGTTGAAACAACGTTAACTAGCTAATAATCGACGTTTATAATCGAAGTGATTGAATAATTAAATAATTGTGCACGAGTACTTAATAATATCAAAATGAATCAATCGTGAAATATATTACAAAATACATTATCGACATTGTAGTGTTCATAAAGTTATAATAGCATTTACTTTAATTAATGAAACATTTTTATTGCTCGAGACCTTTAATATTATTATGTGTTACAAAACCAATTAACAATTATCTGTTTTGCCAACTACAAATCATTGAAATTAGTAGTTAGTACGTAATTATCAGTCTCAATAGAAGTGTGGAAAAAACTGTAATAATATAATTACATCTTATTGTCAACAGATTAACAGCAACTCGCTTTATTATTTACAACTGAATTTTGCTGAACAGTAAAATATCTTCAATAAAGGAGAGAATCGCAATTCGAGTATAGTTAGGACCGCCCTATTACCTTGAATTTCTCCGCGCGCTTCTCTTCTCCTCATCTTTTCCTACTTCTTCATTTTCCTCATTTCATGCATACTGCTTGAATAGAATGAGGAGCAAAGACCAATAGACGCCTCGCGCGATAATGTTTTATCGCATAATTACCGTTTATCTCCACCGAATGCCTTAATACTCGATATCCTCGTGCATATTTGATACGTTTCTTATAAACGCTGGTGCCACCGAGCCATTCAATGGATTTTCGTCTAATCGTTATCGTTCTTCTGATCGTCAGCACTCCCTTCGTCTGCTCTAGCGGCAGTACAAATGCAGGTGGATTTTTGTCGAAGATTGTTTCGTGTATTATTATATTCTTCTTAGCAGTGGATCGCAATTTCTTTTGTGACGAATCAGTGTTTTGCGTTATTGTTGCTGCGATAGTAGTGACGGTTGTTTGCGTTTATTGGTGTTGTTATCAAATCCTTAGAGTGCGAGTTTTTCATAGACAGCGATACTTAGGCTGTCACAAAAATCTTGAAATCCTGAGGAAAGCTTTATATTAATTTTAAATTCTTAGTTTTGTAAATCTTTAATTGCTCTCGATTTTAAAGTGCTTATGTTGGAAAGTCTTAAGAGTTGTGCAACATAAAAGAGTTGTATAGATATATCTATATCTGTGCATAATTTATCTTCCATATTTTCCAGGTAACCGCGGTTCTACAAAGAAAAATACTACCAGACTCAGTGCAGGCATTACGTACAATCCCTTTCTTCAACTACCCGTTATGCTTCCCAGTGTAGAAGGCAACCCCTTCTTATCGCAGTTCTATGGCAACAAGAGCGAAAGTTAATCAGGAGTAGTACCGAATATTTTTCTGCCGACAAAGAACCAGTCTTAATATGTTACAATATTCAGCAATGGCAATCCCTTTTTAAACTTTGGATCTGGTTCAAAGATTGATACAATACCTTTTAACGCTTCAGGGCTTTCTCCGCAAGTACGCTTTGCACCTTATAGACCGCCGCCTTGCTATATACCAACATCTACTAGACTTGAGACTTCTACGTTTCAAAGACCTTTTAGACCTCCAACCACGCCGTCATTGCTGGATTTAACAACATCCAACAAATTTGGCTTGACGAAAACAAGATCAGAACTCAGTAAGTGGAATACGATTGGATCAATTCTAAGATTACAAATTTGGAAATTAGAAAAAAGAACTCAAAAAAAAAGTATAAACACGATGATCTAGAAGTCAAAATTCAAAGCACTCAAGCATTCGAGAGTTCAGAAATCTCACTGTTAAATCCGATATGAATGATGAGGCTTGTAATGTTGATTTCAGAATGCGAAGAATACATGAGAGAAATTGCGGGCACAACCACTGTCGCATCTTTAGTCGACACATCGTCCAATGTGATAGAAGTGGAAAATGAGTGTGGAACTGTACATCATCTTATAATTGTTGGTGGTGGCACCGAGGCATCAATTGGCGAATTTCCACACATGGTCGCCCTTGGTAGACGTAGTTCTAGTGGCGAATTCACTTTGATATGCGGTGGCACGTTGATCTCACATAGCTGGGTACTTTCCGCTGCGCATTGCACTTATGGGCCAAAGTATATCTTTGTTATCTTTTTCTTTGCCTTAAGCTGCATAAAAATTTCGGCAGAAGCTGTTCTTCGTTTTTTTTTTCTGTCCATTAATGACTTCAACAATGAATCAGATAAAGCCTCGAAGATCACAGTCCTTAGATTGACTTTTTTAGTGTTTCTTTCATACTAGTACAAAATATTTTAGATTTTAATAAAAAAATTTATTGATTCGAATATATTAAATGTTAAAGATATAGAAATCCACAATACAGAGATTATGAAGTTCTTTTCTGCAGTCTATTTTTTATAATTAAAGAAGTTGTTCTTAACGATTCACGTTATTGCAGTGGCGGTCTGTCTCACGCTCGGTTGGGTTTTCTCTCATTAGAAGACCAGCAATCTGGTATCACAGTTGCCATCAAGACCATAATACGACATCCGAAGTTTACTCCACCCGCGATGTACTCTGATATCGCTTTAATGGAACTTAAAAACGCTGTCATATTTGGCGAATTAATACGACCAGCTTGCCTCTATCAGCAATATGATGTCCCTAGGGCTGCTTGCGTCACTGGCTGGGGTGCTACTGAAATTAGTAAGAAGCTTTCGTGCAAGAAACTGAAGAATATCAATCTTTAATGTCGTAGAAAATTTAATAATAGGAGGAAAATTTCATATTATTTCTGAAATATTTAGAAACATTGAATATCTTTTCTGACATTTGAAAGAAATTCATGAATGACTAACACGTCTAATTTTTGGCATTCGGTTTTCTAAAATATCTTTGAATATTACATTTTTCATCTTCGAGGTATCTTTTACAATAAAAAGAAATTTTAAACTTCTTTTTATATTATTTTGTGGTTTTTAATGTGTTAATAAAAAGAACGAAATAATAATGTTAACTTAATAAATCAATTTCAGTTGGAGATCAGTCCGACAAATTGCGGAAGGCTAAGCTGAACTTTATAGACAATCTGGCGTGCACGATGCAGCATAATAATTCCAGAGAGGTTCCGCATGGCATTACGCCGAGCATGATCTGCGCAGGCGATCCTTTCGGCGGTTGGACCAAGGATTCTTGCCAAGGTGATTCTGGAGGACCTTTGCAAATCAGATATCAGTGTCTTTTCCAAGTGATCGGTATCACTAGCTTTGGTCAGGGATGCTCCATCATCAACTCTCCTGGCGTTTACACTAGAGTTTCCCATTATCTACCCTGGATTGAGAATATCGTCTGGCCATAAGGGCAATGATCATGATTCGTTTAGCTTTTCAAAAGGTACAAAAAAACATCTTTTATTCGTTTTGACTAAATTAGACTTCAATTTCTCGATAACTAAATCAGTAATTCAAGCGACTTAGACCAGAGCTCGGAATTAGTTGCTCATTTTGGCCGATTCTCAAGAGCTACGCCTTCTATCTTCTTCTTGTCGCGAGCGGGTCACGCAAATGACGGTTGCGACTCCAAGCTTGAAGCCGCGACTGGTCGCGACCGTCACTTGCGTGGTCCGTTCGCGGCAAAAGGAAAATAGAAGGCGTAGCTCCTGAGAATCGACCGAAATGGACAACTAATTCCGAGCTCTGACTTAGACAAATTGATCGTCGATTGAGAAACAAATGTATGATGTGTTTACTGTGTTCATCATTTTATAACATGACATTGATATATTATATGAGACTAATTTTGCAATTTCAGAAAACGGTCGACGCGATTTGTGCTGACAATTATTATCTGTGAAGATAACTATTTTAATAAGTGGTTGTGAGTGGCTGATCGTATATGGTGCTACTTTAATTGGTCATGACAGTATAATTCAACAGTTTGCAGTTATGACTAATATGGAAACGGAAAGGTCGTAAAAAGGTGTAAATCGTAAAATGAAAGATTGACGTTCGCTTCGTCGATCTTCTGAGCTTCAGAAATCAGGATATTTTGCTATCGTGAATGTTTCGCTACGTGAGTCCATCGTTACACGGCCATTCCTTGATGGAAATAGGACTCACCACCAACTCCTGCAACAACGAATGCAATATAAAAATGGTGGAATGTATATAAATTTAATACATTTGATAGTGAGACGAGTGACATGAAGAATACTCAATATATTTTATAGTTTTAACTTTGTGCAGTGTCAAAAAAAGAAAAAAATTAATATGATATATGTTCAACACAATTTGTGGTAGTTATTATTTATTGCTGAATATAAACTGCGATTCCCTATTAACGTAAAAAAAAAATTAATTTTCTAATTGTACGAATTTGTTAAAAAAAGAAGAATGTTCTGTAAGAATCTTAACGTATAACAATAGTAAAATTCATAAAAACCTTAGCATTAAATATAGTAATTTTTTCGCGACCTGTTCTTTACTTTCAAGAACAGTTTCCAATTCTTCCTCGGTCTGAAGTTGTAAGAATTTTGATAAACTTTGCCCTGTGCTTTGTATTTCTGCAATTCCGTAGTATTGACGTATCTTACGTATATTACGTATCTTGGTGATAGTTTCTCTCTGGGTGATAAGTGTCGCGTGTCATCAAGTAAGAACACCAACTTCTATTGATATAATGACACTGAACTTACTCGCGAAGATTACCAATTTTCGCGATATCTTCTATTTATTGAGAAATCGCTTGAAAACAAGAAATTTCCTGTACTACCACTGAAATTCAATACTATCATGATTTTTTAGGTAATTGTAATTCACTTGCGACTCATTGTCGATAATGTGCGTATTGTTGTTTTAGTTATTAAGCGACTTCAATTTTTTCATTTTTACTTCTGCATTGTTTATTGATTTTCATTTTCTACCTCGAGAACATGTCATTTCTATTATTTCTATTAATAAGTAATACCGAATTAGTCTATCTTTTTCCTACTATTTAGCATCTTCTTATCTTGTTGATTTTTGCGAAGTAGACTGGTTTATCTGCTTGAATTAACTACATCAGAATCGCAGATTCCCTACTGAGCTGTCAGCTATCAATCGGAGATCAGCAGTATACATTTCTGACGCTTATCCCTGGCGAATATCTCGTCGCATATTACAATCTTTTTTTTTTCTCATTCGTTCAAACATGAGTATTGTAGAAGGGAGGCGGCGTTTAAAGAACCTAATTCATCAACGTTGACTTTGGTGTTGAAACTACGTTAACTAGCTAATAATTGATGTTTGTAATCGAAGTAATTGAATAATTAAATAATTGTGCACGAGTACTTAATAATATCACAATGAATCAATCGTGAAATATATTACAAAATACATTACCGACATTGTAGTGTTTATAAAGCTATAATAGCATTTTTACTTTAATTAATGAAACATATTTATTGCTCGAGACTTTTAATATTATCATGTGTTACAAAACCAATTAACAATTATCTGTTTTGCCAACTACAAATCATCCATTGAAATTAATAGTTAGTACGTAATTATCAGTCTCAATAGAAGTGTGGAAAAAACTAATAATATAATTACATCTTATTGTCAGCAGATTAACAGTAACTCGCTTTATTATTTACAACTGAATTTTGCTGAACAGTAAAATATTTTCAACAAACGAGAGAATCGCAAGTCTGAGTTAGGACCGCCCGTTACCTTGAACTTCTTCGTATGCACCTCTTCTCCTCGTCTCTTCCTACTTCTTCATCATTTCCTTAACATATTGCGTCAATAGAATTAGGAGGAAAAGACGATGGACGCCTCGTGCGATGTGTTTTATTGCATAATTGCCGTTTATTTCCATCGAATGATTTAATACTCGATATCCTCGTGCATATTTGATACGTTTCTCATAAACGCTGGTGTCACCGAACCATCGTTCACAATGGATTCTTGTCTGCTCGTTATCGTTCTTCTAATCGTCAGCACCCTCTTCGTTTGCTCCAGCGGCGGTAAAAATGCAGGTGGATTTTTGTCGAAGATCGTTTCGTGCATTATTATATTCTCCGTAGCAGTGGATCACAATTTCTCTTGTGACTAACTAGTGTTTTGCGTTATCCTTATTGCAACGGTAGTGACGGTTGTTTGCGCTCGTTGGTGTCGTTATGAAATTCTCAGAGTGCGAGTTTTTCGTAGACAGAGATAGTTATGCTGTCATAAAAATCTTGAAATCCGGAAAATTTTATATTAATTTTAAATTCTTAGTTTTGTAAATCTTTAATTGCTTTCGATTTTGAAGTGTTTATGTTAGAAAGTCTTAGAGAATTGTACAACATAAAAGAGTTATATAGATATATCCATATCTGTGCATAATTTACCTTTTATATTTTCCAGGTAACCGCGGTTCTACAAAGAAAAATACTACCAGACTCAGTGCAGGCATTGCGTACAATCCCTTCCTTCAACCACCCGTTACGCTTCCAAGTGTAGAAGACAATCCTTTTTTATCGCAGTTTTATGGCAACAAGAGCGAAAACCAATCAGGAGTAGTACCAAATATTTTTCTGTCGACAAAGAACCAGTCTTCATATGCTATAACATTTAGCAATAGCAATCCCTTTTTAAACTTTGGATTTGGTTCAAAGATTGATACAATACCTTCTAATGCTTCAGGGCCTTTTCCGCCAGCATACTTTGCACCTTATAGACCACCGCTTTACTATATATCAACATCTACCAGACCTGAGCCTACATTTCAAAGACCTTTTTTTGAAGAAATTCGACCTCCAACCACACCGTCATTGCTGGATTTAACAACATCCAACAAATTTGACTCGACAAAAACAAGATCAGAACTCAGTAAGTGGAATACGATTGGATCAATTCTAAGATTACAAATCTGGAAATTAGAAAAAAAAACTAAAAAGAAGGCACGATGATCTAGAAGTAAAAATTCAAGGCACTCGAGCATTCGAGAATTCAGAAATTTCACTGTTAAATCCAATATGAATGACGAAGCTTGTAATATTGATTTCAGAATGCGAAGAATACATGAGAGAAATTGCAGGCACAACTAATGTAGCACCTTTAGTTGGCACATCGTCCGACGTGATAGAGGTGCAAAATGATTGTGGGACTGTATATCACCTTGTAGTCGGCGGCACCGAGGCTACAACTGGTGAATTTCCACACATGGTCGCTCTTGGTAGACGTAGTTCTAGCGGCGAATTTATTTTGATGTGCGGTGGCACGTTGATCTCACATAGCTGGGTACTTTCCGCTGCGCATTGTACTTATGGGCCAAAGTACATCTTTGTAATTTTTTTCCTTTGCCTTAAGCTGTATAAAAATTCCGGCGAAAGTTGTTCTTTGTTTTTTTCTGCCCATTAATGACTGCAATAATGAAACAGATAAAGCCTCATAGATCAGAATCCTTAGAATTGATTTTTTAGCGTTTTTTAATACTAGTACAAAATATTCTAGATTTTAATGAAAAAATTTATTGATTCGAGGATATTAAATGTTAAAGATATAAAAATCCACAATACAGAGATTATTAAGTTCTTTTCTGCAGTTTCTTTTTTATAATTAAAGAAGCTGTTCTTAACGATTAACATTATTGCAGTGGCGGTCCGTCTCACGCTCGGTTGGGTTTTCACTCATTAAAGGATCAACAATCCGGTATCACAGTTACCATCAAAACCATGATACGACATCCGAACTTTGCTCCACCAGCGCTGTACTCGGATATCGCTCTAATGGAACTTAAAAACGCTGTCATATTTGGCAAATTAATACGACCAGCTTGTCTCTATCAACAATACGATAATGTGCCTAGGGCTGCTTTGGTCACTGGCTGGGGTGCTACTGAATTTAGTAAGAAGCTTTCATGCAAGAAACTGAAGAATATCAATCTTCAGAGTCGTAGAGTCCGAAAATTTAAGCATCTAAAAATTTCATGTTATTTCTGTTAGAAACGTTGAATATCTTTTCTGACATTTGAAAGAAATTTATGAATGATCAATACGTCTAATTTTTGGCATTCGTTTTTCTAAAATATCTAATCTTCAAACATTAAATTTTTATCTTTGAGATATCTTTTACAATAAAAGTAAATTAAACTTCTTTTTATATCATTCTGTGGTTTTTAATGAGTTAATAAAAAGAAGGAAATCATAATGTTAACTTAACGATACAATTTCAGTTGGAGATCAATCCGACAAATTGCGGAAGGCTCAGCTGAATTTTATAGACAATGTGGCATGTACGATGCAGCATAACAATTCCAGAGAGGTTCCGCGTGGCGTTACACCGAACATGATCTGCGCAGGCGATCCTTTCGGCGGTTGGACTAAGGATTCTTGCCAGGGTGATTCTGGAGGACCTTTGCAAATCAAGCATCAGTGTCTTTTCCAAGTGATTGGTATCACTAGCTTTGGTCAGGGATGCGCCATCATCAACTCTCCTGGTGTTTACACTAGAGTTGCCCATTATCTACCTTGGATTGAGAATATCGTCTGGCCATAAGAGCAATGATCATGATTCGTTAGCTTTTCAAAAGGTGCAAAAAAATATCTTTTATTCGTTTCAACTAAATTAGACTTCACAATTTCTTGATAACTAGATCAGTAATTCAAATAACTTAGATAAATTGATTGTTGATTGAGAGACAATGTATGATGTGTTTACTATGTTCACCATTTTGTAATATTTATATATTATATGAGAATAATTTTGCAGTTTCAGAAAACGGTCGATACGATTTGTGCTGACAATTATTATCCGTGAAGAGAACTATTTTAATCAGTGGTTGATCAGTGGTGAATGGCTAATCGTATATGATGCTACTTTAATTTGTCATGATAGTATAATTTAACAATCTGTAGTTATGACTAGAATATCGGAACGGAAAGGTCGCAAAAAGATGTAAATCGTAAAATGAAAGATTGACATTCACTTCGTCGATTTTCTGAGTCTCAGAAACTAGGATATTTTACTATCGTGAATGGTTTGCCATGTGAGTCCATCGTTACACGGGCCATGCCTTAATAGAAACAAGACCCACTACCAACTCTTGCAACAACGAATGTAATAAAAAAGTGATGAAATGTATATAAATTTAATACATTTGATAGTGAGACGAGTGACATGAAGAATACTCAATATATTTTAACTTTGTGCAGTGTCAAAAAAAAAAGAAAAAGATTAATACGATATATGTTTAACACAATTTGTAGTAGTTATTATTTACTGCTGAATATGAACTGCGATTTGCTCTCAACTCAAAATTCTGCAATTCCGTAGTATTGATACCGTAGTATTTTGATGATAGTTTCTCTCTGGGTGATAAGTGTCGCGTGCCATCAAGTAAGAGCACCAACTTCTATTGACATAGTGACACTGAATATACTCATGAAAATTACAAATTTTCGCGATATTTTCTATTTTTTGCGGAATTGTTTGAAAACAAGAAATTTCCTGTACTACCGCTGAAATTCACTACTATCATGATTTTTTAGCACTAATTGTAATTCACTTTCGACTCATTGTCAATAATGTATGTATTGTTGCTTTAGTTATTAAGCGACTTCAATTTCTTTTATTTTTACTTCTGCATTGTTTATTGATTTTCATTTTTTATCTCAAGAATATGTCGTTTCTATTATTACTATTAATATATTAATATCTATATAATTATCTACAGATAATACCGGATTTGTCTGTATTTTTCCTGCTTTTAACATCTTTTTATCTCGCCGATTTTTGCAGAGTAAACTGGTTTATCCTCTTGAATCAACTACGTCAGAACCGGAGATTCCCTATTGAGCAATCAGCTACCAATCGAAGACCAGCAGTATGCATTTTTGACGCTTATCCCTAGTGAATATCTCGTCGTTTATTTCCTTCTTTTCTTTTTCTCATTCGTTCAAACATACGATATCCTCGTACATATTTGATACGTTCCTCATAAATGCTGGTGCCACCGAACCATCGTTCACAATGGATTCTCGTCTGCTCGTTATCGTTCTTCTAATCGTCAGCACCCTCTTCCTTTGCTCCAGCGGCGGTAAAAATACAGGTGGATTTTTGTCGAAGATCGTTTCGTGTATTATTATATTCTCCTTAGCAGTGGATCACAATTTCTCTTGTAACTAACCAGTGTTTTGCGTTATCCTTATTGCAACGGTAGTGACGGTTGTTTGCGCTCGTTGGTGTCGGTATCAAATGCTCAGAGTGCGAGTTTTTCGTAGACAGAGATAGTTATGCTGTCTAAAAATCTTGAAATCCTGAGGAAAATTTAATATTAATTTTAAATTCTTAGTTTTGTAAATCTTTAATTGCTCTCGATTTTGAAGTGTTTATGTTGGAAAGTTTTAGAGAATTGTACAACATAAAAGAGTTATATAGATATATCCATATCTGTGCATAATTCACCTTTTATATTTTCCAGGTAACCACAGTTCTACAAAGAAAAATACTACCAGACTCAGTGCAGGCATTGCGTACAATCCCTTCCTTCAACCACCCGTTACGTTTCCCAGTGTAGAAGGCAATCCTTTTTTATCGCAGTTCTATGGCAACAAGAGCGAAAGCCAATCAGGAGTAGTACCAAATATTTTTCTGTCGACAAAGAACCAGTCTTCATATGCTATAACATTCAGCAATAGCAATCCCTTTTTAAACTTTGGATCTGGTTCAAAGATTGATACAATACCTTCTAATACTTCAGGGCCTTTTCCGCCAGCACACTTTGCAACTTATAGACCACCGCCTTACTATATATCAACATCTACCAGACCAGAGCCTACATATCAAAGACCCTTTTCTGAAGAAATTAGACCTCCAACCACGCCGTCATTGCTGGATTTAACAACATCAAACAAATTTGGCTCGACAAAAACAAGATCAAAACTCAGTAAGTAGAATATGATTGGATCAATTCTAAGATTACAAATCTGGAAATTAGAAAAAAAGAACTAAAAAGAAGGCACGATGATCTAGAAGTAAAAATTCAAGGCACTGGAGCATTCGAGAGTTCAGAAATCTCACTGTTAAATCCGATATGAATAACGAAGCTTGTAATATTGATTTCAGAATGCGAAGAATACATGAGAGAAATTGCGGGCACAACTAATGTAACACCTTTAGTTGGCACGTCATCCGACGTAAAAAATAATGATGGAAATGTATATCACATTACTGTAGTCGGCGGCACCGAGGCCACAATTGGTGAATTTCCACACATGGTCGCCCTTGGTAGACGTAGTTCTAGCGGCGACTTCACTTTGATGTGCGGTGGCACGTTGATCTCACATAGCTGGGTACTTTCCGCTGCGCATTGCACTTATGGGCCAAAGTATATCTATGTTATTTTTTTCCTTTGCCTTAAGCTGTATAAAAGTTCCGGCGGAAGCTGTTCTTTGTTTTTTTCTGCCCATTAATGACTGCAATAATGAAACAGATAAAGCCTCGTAGCTCAGAATCCTTAGAATTGATTTTTAGCGTTTTTTTATACTAGTACAAAATATTTTAGATTTTAATAACAAAGTTCGAGGAGTTAATAACATTGATTCGGGGATATTAAATGTTAAAGATATACAAATCCACAATACAGAGATTATGAAGTTCTTTTCTGCAGCTTTTTTTTTATAATTAAAAAAGCTGTTCTTAACGATTAACGTTATTGCAGTGGCGGTCCATCGCACGCTCGGTTGGGTTTTCACTCATTAAAGGATCAACAATCCGGTATTACAGTTACCATCAAGACCATGATACGACATCCGAAGTTTGCTCCACCCGCGATGTACTCGGATATCGCTCTAGTGGAACTTAAAAGCGCTGTCATATTTGGTGAATTAATACGACCAGCTTGTCTCTATCAGCGATACGACAATGTGCCTAGGGCTGCTTTGGTCACTGGCTGGGGTGCTACTGAATTTAGTAAGAAGCTTTCATGCAAAAAACTGAAGAATATCAATCTTTAGAGTCGTAGAGTCCGAAAATTTAAGCATCTAAAAATAGGAGTATAATTTCATATTATTTCTGTTAGAAACATTGAATATCTTTTCTGACATTTGAAAGAAATTCATGAATGACCAACACATCTAATTTTTGGCATTCGGTTTTCTAAAATATCTAATCTTCAAACATTAAATTTTTCATCTTTGAGATCTCTTTTACAATAAAAGTAAATTAAACTTCTTTTTATATCATTTTGTGGTTTTTAATGAGTTAATAAAAAGAACGAAATCATAATGTTAACTTAATGATACAATTTCAGTTGGAGATCAGTCCGACAAATTGCAGAAGGCTCAGCTGAACTTTATAGACAATGTGGCATGCACGATGCAGCATAATAATTCCAGACAGGTTCCGCATGGCGTTACACCGAGCATGATCTGCGCAGGCGATCCTCTCGGCGGTTGGACCAAGGATTCTTGTCAGGGTGATTCTGGAGGACCTTTGCAAATCAGGCATCAGAGTCTTTTCCAAGTGATTGGTATCACTAGCTTTGGTCAGGGATGTGCCATCATCAACTCTCCTGGCGTTTACACTAGAGTTGCCCATTATCTACCCTGGATTGAGAATATCGTCTGGCCATAAGGGCAATGATCATGATTCGTTTAGCTTTTCAAAAAGTACAAAAAAACATCTTTTATTCATTTCGACTAAATTAGACTTTTTCACAATTTCTTGATAACTAAATCAGTAATTCAAATGACTTAGATAAATTGATTGTTAATTGAGAAACAATGTATAATGTATTTACTGTTCACCATTTTGTAACACTTATATATTATATTAGAATAATTCTGTAATTTCAGAAAACAATCGACACGATTTGTGCTGACAATTATTATCCGTGAAGAGAACTATTTTAATCAGTGGTTGATCAGTGGTGAATGGCTAATCGTATATGATGCTACTTTAATTTGTCATGACAGTATAATTTAACAGTCTGTAGTTATGACTAGAATATCGGAACGGAAAGGTCGCAAAAAGGTGTAAATCGTAAAATGAAAGATTGACGTTCGCTTCGTCGATCTTCTGATTCTCAGAAATCAGGATATTTTACTATCGTGAATGGTTCGCCACGTGAGTCCATCGTTACACGGGCCATGCCATGATGGAAACAGGACCCACCACCAACTCCTGCAACAACGAATGCAACATAAAAATGATGGAATATATATAAATTTAATACATTTGATAGTGTGTCGAGTGACATGAAGAATACTCAATATATTTTATAGTTTTAACTTTGTGCAGTGTCAAAAAAAAAAAGAAAAGGTTAATACGATATATGTTCAATACAATTTGTGGTAGTTATTATTTACTGCTGAATATAAACTGCGATTTGTTCTCAACTCAAAGAAAAATTAATTTTCTAATTATACGAATTTGTTAAAAAAAAGAAGAATGTTCTGTGAGGATCTTAACGTGTGACAATAGTTAAATTCATAAAAATCTTAGCATTAATTACGGTAATTTTTTCGCTACCTGTTCTTTACTCCCAAGAACAGTTTCCAGTTCTCCCTCGGTCCGAAGTTGTAAGGATTTTGATAGACTTTGCCCTGTGCTTTGTATTTCTGCAATTCCGTAGTATTGATACGTGCCTCGATGCTAGTTTCTCCCCGGGTGATAAGTCTAGCGTGCCACCAAGTAAGGGCACCAACTCCTGCTGATGTAGTGACACTGAACATACCCGCGAAGATTATCAATTTTCGCCGCCATTCCTTGGCTTCATTCTCCGCTGCTTGTCTTGCTATTTCTGCCCGTTCCTCCTCAGTTAAGTGATCCAATGACTCTGTCTGTGGCATTAAATGTATATTAATATCAATTTGAAAATATAATGAAATCTGAGGAACTGTTGATATTCACAAATTAAGGATGTTACTCACTACGGGAATTATTTCTGAATTATTAAGGCGCACTGGATGACCATCCAATTCTGGCTCTTGTGCAGGGAAGAACTCCTCATAAGCGAGTTCTATACCAAAAATCATAATGAATATAAGGCCGAACACGGCGAAAGCCATGAACTGGAAGAAATATCGATGGTTGTAGTGACCAACACAATTGTTTAGCCATGCTATATGTTTTCATTAAGGAAGACAAATATGGCACTTTGATGCAAAAATAGTACTTCACGGTGCTGTTACAATCAACAGGACGATCAGACATTTAAATGAATTCATAAGATACATAAGGATACGGCAATGATGGTCCATCTTGAGAACACACTTGTTGCAGACAGAACAGTGGTGGGTTCTGGGTGGCTTTGGCTTAATGCACTTTTTGCAGATGCTCACAGCCTCTGAGATGAGGCCACCTTGCGGTGGATAACCCGGTGGTACCACCAAGCCCATGTAGTAGTGAAAACAAATATTAACCAGTAACCAATTTCCAATTATTAGTAGAATCACTGTCATGAAGGGACTTCGATTCCACCAGTAGGGCAGGCCAACGTAGTATGCAATATACACTACACTTGCAGTTAGCAGAATCACTATTGCCACAAGCGCCTATGGACTGTAGCACTTAGTAAATATATTGTGGACACAATATTTGTGTTATATGAAATGAAATATTCTGAAGAATTTTGTTGAATATTACTTGTACGATATAATGATGTTAAGTATATACAATAATTTAATTTTCACATACAAATTCTATCTCTTTTATGTATCAAATTTATATTTTTTAGAATTATTTCCATGTTATATACATTTATATGAGAAACCTGAAAATAATGTTAAATAATATCAAAGATCTTACAGGACCCAAACAGGCAGTAAAATTCTCGACGAACCAGAACATAGGTTCCATCAATATATCACAAGCATAACCCCAGTCCAAAAAATCGTTATAGAATAAAGACTTGCAGGTGACTTGGAACCGCCATAACCTCTTCTTCAAACTAACCCTTAAAATAAATTAAATAAAATATTTATTGAGTTTATGTATAGAAGTGCATGAAGGAACGTTAAGTGAACTTTTTAATTGAAACCGCAATGTGGAAAAATAAATTCACGTTATTAATGAATTAATGCAAGAAAAGTTCGATAACTTGCTTATAGCAGAATACGATAATTAGAAATTTAGTAAATTTACCTTAGAACTTTCGGCACCTTTGTCAAGGACCATCGTATCCTCGCCATTTTCGCTTTCTTCTTCGGATGGACTCAGATATACTCATAATTTTAACATATCAAAATTATATTCCACGTATTTTAACACACTACTGCTCGTCGCCATCTTAGCCGGTTTTTGATATCTTCCGAACATCTGATGAGAAAGTGCGACTGCTAATACAATGTCAGAATCACAAGTGCGATAATCTCGATCGATCCACGAACACAACTTTGTCCGCCATATTTGTACTAACTCAGGAAGGGAACCGAATAGAGAAATGTATTGTTCCTAATAAAAATATCGTGCATCATCAAGTAACGTTTGAACGTAGGCACATCTCATCAACGTGAAATTATATGCAAGCCGATAGAGAGGTAAAAATTTTCCGCCATTTCTCTTATAGGCGGCATTTTCAAACATCTTAAACTGCGCAGCCACAAGAAATATTTACAAAATGTACGAAAAATTTACTAAATATATATATATATATATATTTTTTTTTTTTTATTATAGTTTTAGTACTATTATATATTTAATATTTTAAAATTTTATATATATACTTTATAATTGTTAAATTATGTTTTTAATACTCTATAATAAAAAAAAAAGAGTACACATTTTTTTTCTTGTTTATGTTTATGACTCTAGTAAGGAAGAAAATTTTACTTCAACGAGAAACAATACAATAGTTCGAGGTACAAAGGTAGACTTTTTTATTTTTGGTAAATATGCACGAGTGTACATGCGTCTTAACAAAAGTACATTTACGTATGTACACACTACATAACTAATTTCGCTAAACACACGTGTGTGTTCAAAGAGGCATTTCGCGCTCGTAACGCTGAGAAATTCGCAATGCGAACAAGAATAGATCCACGAAAATGTCTTTAACAAAGTTGATAACGCGTAATAGTTCTTCTCGTAAGGAGAGTTAAATCTTAAATCTCAACAATTTGGGAACGAGTGTAGTAAATATTTTCGATACTTTATCTGCCATGAAAGTTGATTAAATTTTTATAAGGAGATCTCTTTCTTTAAAATTTAAGAATAAAAATTTAGAGATCTAAAGACGTCAAAAAACTTAAAAGATTGAAACGTCAGGTTCCGTGTGGAAATTTGAAAATTAAAAATAAAGATCTAATTACGATTGAAATGTTTAAGATTTGAAAGATTTAAGAGAACATCGAAGGCGCGAGAGATCAAACGTTTTAAAAAGTTTCACGAGAAGTTCGAGAAGTATTATTGCGTTGCTACTACATGTCCCATACCCATGGCAGACAACAAGTTGCCTTAATATTAATATAATAATGATAATTCTTTTATTAATATTAATAATATTACGTAGTACGTGTATAATAAGGTACAGGATAATCACACGAGGTATCGACCAGGTTTTAGGAGGATAATATTAATTTCCTTCACTTGGTCCAAGAGTATCATTTTCGTAATCAATGATTAAAGAATTTGTGAATTTGACATTCACATGATATTATATATATGTATGTATATATGTATATATATGTATTGTGTATATATACATATATATATTTTTTTAAGATTGAAAGATTAAATTTTGGAAATCTTAACAAGTTAGAATAGAATCTTGCTCAAATAATCAATCGATTAATACGTACTATTAAAGATGCTGAAGCTGAAATACTTTGCAACGCTACGCGAATGTACCTAGATAATTTTTAAAAATACTTCAAGTAGATCAAAAGAAATTCCTACATTCTGTGAAATGTATTCATTCTTCATGGGTTTTATCTTGTTTAGAATAAGAACTCAAAATATGAAATTGATTCGACTTTGTAAGTCATGAATCTGTACTTGCGGATAAAGTTTGTATCGATTGCTTAATTCATTAACTCCTTGCAGGAAATTGAACACCTGGATGAACCAACGTTTTATTAATAATTTAATGCAATTCCATAAATGTAATAATTCGATAATTTTATGTATAATTTTTCAACGATTCAAAGTCTTGCAACTGTAAAGCTTCAACGAATTTCAATGCTAAACTAAATCGTCGGTTCTTTCAGGTCCCTTCGATCGCCGAAAGACGTACCGGAAGTGTTGTACATGAAAGACTGGGTAGGTAAACGGGGTACATACATATTTACAAAGACACGCGCTGAAGAGTTCTCCAGCGTCTTTCCCTTAAGAATATGTCTCGAGCAATGATATCTCGGCTCGCTGCACTTGATTTTCTTTCACTACAAACGGCATTTTGAGTTACTGCACCTTATATTATCTCTGTAAATCATAATTTTGCGATTTGTGACGAAATTTACATAAATTTTGATGCAAATTACCAAATTCATTTAGACTTCCTCATACTTCTTTCTTTCTTTATAAGATTTCTAAATACTCTCAATCGATTTTATCATTTTTCAAACATATAATTACTTTATTATTGGCACAATTTTCGTATCTTCTTCATATGTGGAGAAAGAAGTAAATGAATTGATAAAAAAGTCAAGATGCTTCACGTGCCTCGTTGTCATTGCTTAAAACGCAATTAATAATAAGTTAATGGAATTTTTGATAGAACTTTAAGATCTCATAATACGGTGTCCAGAGTATCGAGACTTCGTAACAATTGCTCGTCCTTCGAGCACCATTGCACCAACTCTTCGATAGTCACTACGCCGTCCTTATTCGCGTCCATTAACTAAAAAGATGCATTATTAATATATTATATACAAAGTTTTGTAATTATAAAAACTTATTTAATATAATAAATAATTATATATAATTTATGTGATAAAAACTCTAGAAAGATATATAAACATTTTTCCAAGCAATTATTGGAGTCTGAAATCAGAAATTAAATTTTGCAAAACTAATTTTTGTCGATCAGTTTTAATTAAGATATTTCCTGCAATTATTTAAGAAAGTTAACAGATTTTTACTCACGTGGAAGATTCGATCAACATGTTCGCGAGCAGCCACGTGTGGTTCGGCGATTTGCGGTTGCGTGTAACGACCTAGCATCTCATAGATAGAACCCACAACATCCAGCATCTCCTCCTTGCTTATCAATCCATCTCCATCCAAATCGTATAACCCAAACACCCATTGCAGCTTCTCCTCCACCGATCCTCTCGACACCTTCGACAATATGGAGAGGAACTCCTAAGCAAAGAATTTAAAGTTTAGTTAGAAATTCAAATTTTCTAGAGCAAATTAATGATATACTTAGAAACATATATATTAAAAAAAAATTAAATTTGAATTATGAAAACTTTTTTATAATTTTCATTAAGATATATTTAACTATAATGTAGCTTACCTCAAAGCTAATCTTGCCCGACGGTTTCCTCTTCATAGTGTTGAAGACATAATGAGCATACTGGCTTGCATCTACAATGTATGGTGTAATTAGAAAAATAAATAATAATAATTAACAAAAAGTCAGTAAGATAGAATATAATTATTTTCTATTTAAGAAACTAAGAGAGAGTTTTGTAAATCATATAGAATTATATGATCATATAAATATGAATTTTATATCTAGAGAGAGAGGAAAAGAGAGAACTTGATTTCTACGATCATTCAAGATTTTCTAATTTCATTCTCTATTTTTATCATTTCTATTACCAATAATTTCTATTACCAATAAAACATTTATTATCCATTTCTTATGATTGTTATTTAACGATCACTGAAAGAAACGGTTTTAACGATTTATCAATGTCATCGTTCATTCCAATAAAATCATCATCATCATCATTATTCCCTTATTACCTCCCTGTGGAAAGAATTGTGAAAAGATCTGCTTGAAGGCGTCCTCATCGACCAAACCGGATGGGCACTCCTGCTTGAAGCCTCGATAGATCAGCTGGATCTCCTTCCTAGAAAACCTGGTAGTAGCCGCAAGGGTGGCGAGTTCCTCCGGTTTATGTCGACCACCAAAGGCTAACGCGGCGCCCCCGGAGCTCCCTAAAACGCCCCCGAGTCCTTCAAGCTCTCCCTCTGCAAGTTCGCAAGTCCTTCACTCCTAAGACTGTGTCGCGCCTTCGAGATGCTCCCTCTCGCCACCCATCTTATCGAAACGTGGGAGTAATACCCCATCGTTCAGAGGGCCCAGGCAACCCTCTGTCCACCATTACGGCTGAAGGAGGGTCCCCGTCTATTGCTTCATTTTTATTTAGAGAGAAAATACAAAAAGGATTTTTCTCTTATTTTTTTCTGCAAGTTTCGTCGAGGAGTTTATCGAGTGAAATTAATATCCCTAAAGAAGGGACGGCGTACTCTACTCTATGGGGACCTACATAGTGCGTAAACTTGCAGGCGGAGAAGTCGTGAGAGGCGAGAGACAACAGGGGTGAAGAGAATGAGAGTTGTTCGTACTACAAGAGGTTGCTCGTTCCTGCGATGTAATTAGGAGTTTTATAAGTTATATTTGTTGAATTCAGATTTCCAAAAACTATATATATAATAAAACAAAAAGGATACAGATTTATATTTAACACTTAAATAAGCTTGATTTTATAATTATTTTTAACGAGCGCCCCTACCTCTTTGTAGCGCGAATTAATGAAGAAGGGGGAAGAAGTAGATTGAGTAGATTGAAAGAGTTCGAAGAAGAAATTGCGAAAGTACATTCTTCAGATTCTGAGAGTGAAGATAACTCATAGGTACGGTTCTACAGTGCTGGGTGATTGCTCCTCTCCGCAAGAGATTTTATCTGAGATATTCCTTGCAATAAGTGTAATAAGATGCAACACGTGCGTGCTTCCAACTTCTGAAAGGGAAAGATGTTCTGTATAAATATAGTACACATAAAAATTATGCTAAATAATACTTTAAATAATTTTGTTAAAAGTTTTGTTATAAATGGGAACATACAATTTTAACGAAACGCAACATTCTATTTCTTTCATGGAAATGTTATCGAGGTGATTAACGATCTGATTAACTACAATAGTTAAACGTTATACTATTCTAATGAAAACGTTATACTATTCTAATGAAAAAAAGAAATGCTATCAGAAAGAGTCTATTGTCGTACTAAGACTATATGTGGATTATTTAAAGCAATCATAATTCTCTACGGTAACATACGAGGGAAACCTAAGACTCTAAAAACAGAAATATAAAGGTCTGAGAACAGAGAGAAATCTAAAAATTAAGAGTCTGAACATTTAGATATCGGAAAATCTATAAACTTAAGGATTAAAAAATCCTAAAATGCAGATTTAAAAATAAAAATTCGAGATAAAATTTAAAGGTGAGATGGTCTAATAATTTGGGAGAACGAATTTTTCTAAGAGTATAAAAAGAGATCCAAGGATATAAATAGATGAAAGTTCGTGTGATAAATCTGTGCCACCCGCGATTTACTGAAGGCAATTTGGCAAGAATCACTTTCTAAGAGGCTGCGACATTTCGATCATCCCCTACGCACGCTGCGAACATTAGCTCTGGTCCCGGGTATCCGGGGTTGCCATGGTAACGTTGCAGCTCCTACCCCGTGCTTCTTGACCACCCCTTCTCTCTGCAAAATCTACGCAAGGATTCGTGAGGAAACGAAGGGAAATCTTACTGCCGAGATTAATTCTTCAAAGTACGAGGAAATTTCGTACTTGTTACAAAATTGATAATGAATATCACATCAATTTTTTTATTCTTTCCTGATTGAATTTATTTATATATAACGAACATTAGAAATCATTCTCCAAAAAAATATCATACACTATTCGAAGGTTTAAGAATCTAAAGTATCCAAAAATCTATAGAAGAATGAACTATCTAAAGATTTCTGAGAAAAATTAAAACGGAAAGGATCTAGTAATCTATTGCTAGATCATTTAATTGAAGAATTAAGCGTAAGATCCAAGTGTATAAGAATTTTACAGAATGTTGAAGTGCCGTGGACAGACAGACAGACAGACAGACAGAAGATAGCTAATTGAAGAATTCAAGGATTGTTTAAGATTCTCGCCATAAAAGAACGAAGAAGAGTTCAGAAATTGAATATTCAGCAATCTCTATATCAGAATCTCAGGAAACATAAGATTGTCATGAAGAAACAATTGAACAATTCGTCGAAGGATATAAAGGAGAAATGAAGCAAGTCCAAGACTTTATGAATCTCAAAGACCAAGTGTGTTTAAACAACAAAAAATCCCAAGATTCACATAAAATCGAGAGAGTTAGAGAAAGGGAGATATTCAAGAATATCACCCGAAGGGATGCATTCAGAGACTCGAGCCAAGTCCAAAGACACGACCCTTGACACATAGACAGTCCCCGTGCGACAAAAGGGTTGGATTCAGCCCTACGTAAAAACAATCATTCACGGGGCACGTGAAACTACTACATACGTACAAACAGACAGACAGACAGACAGACCAGGCAACCCGTGGATTTTCCAGGGTGGAAGGGTGAGAAAAAGAGAAGAGAGCAGGACCCATATCACTGATCACCGCACCTTGGTCCTGCATTCGGCAGTTTAGACTTATCACCCCTGGCTGTCACTCCGCTTGTCAACGACGCTCTCCGCTGGGTATCGACTGGCCCAAGTCAATGGCTGTGCACGTCGCACGTCGCGTAGTGTATCGACTGGCCCACACGAACACGAGGTCGCGAACACGGGAAAGAAGGAGGTAGCTCGATCGACACCCTACAGTCGTCGTACCGGTCCGGACTTACTCTTATCGCGGCTCTTACGCGCCTTCATCGGCCACACTTCCTGCCCCTGATCGTCAGCGGGATATCGCACTCGATTCACTGATCGGCGCGACGCATCCCGAGACGCTCTTCGAGACGAACTCCGCGCGCGCACGGAGCGGGTAAGAGGAAAACAGAGAGAGTGTGTGAGTGGAGGGTATGGACCACCACGCAGTTGCGGATGCTGCGCACGGGAAGCTGCCACCGTCGTGGACGGTAGATGGATGCGGTCGCGCTGATGGTGCCACACTGAACCGCACCGGTCTAACGGGGAAGTGTCGTTTCCACCGCGCAAGTGCGAGATGTTCTTCGACACTCTGTTATCGGAGTGACGGCTTGACGAGTTTTTCAAATTACTTATGATATCTATGCAGCACAGAACGTATTATTGAAACTCCAAACCATTTCGAACGTTCAAAGCTGAAAATAATTGGAGTTCGTGAAAGATTCAAATTGAGAGTCTTGAAAGACTCAAATTTAGAGTAATCAATTTAGTCCAGTAATGACGCAGAAAAGCCCGAATGAAAAATTGAATAATAGAGAATAAGTAAAGTCACGTTAAGAAGTTATAATCGACGTCGTAGGAAGTAACCTTGAGTACTTAAAAGCGCCATGGAATATTTGAAAGTCTTGGAGCTTTTAAGAGTCTCTTGAAAGCCTGCTTAGCTCTCTTGGCCCTTCTTGAGGAAGCCTGCAAGCGTTAGATTCTTTCACGAAATTGCAAATATCGTACTATATTGTGAAAAGTAAAACTGACAGCATCGTTGATGGACTGCTTCGGCCAAATTTCGACTGTTTCACGTTTGTCCAGTAATAGCTCTATTATTGAAAGAACTCAGCAGTCAGATGACTTCAATTGCTGGCTATCTCAATTTAAAAATAGGCACTTGCTCATTAGCTCTGCAAATGACATAATTTTCAAGAAATGCTAATATATTCAACTAACAAGTTATCAAATCACATGTATATTGAAAAAAAAATATCTAAAAAATAAAAAATAAAAAATATTCAGAAAATAGCCATTATTTAAAAAAGGGAAAGTAAATTGAGTAATCTCTTTTCTTGGCAGAATATTTTTCTGTGTATTAATATTTGCTTAAATTTAAAATTTTATTTAAAATAAATAATTATTTTCTTTATAGAAAACAAAGATTTTTTAAGAAAATGTATATTTTCTTACTTTAAAATTACTTTATATTTTTATTTTTTAGATATTCTTTTCTCAGTGTAATGAAAGCAAAGAAGTTTCTTTTTTTATTTTAAACAAATTCCAGAACCAATTTTATAGTTAATGTCAATTTTTATAATTTTGAAAAAATAAGCTAAGTCTGACGTTACCTTCAAAAGTTTGTCATTTGCTTGAAATAATTTGTGCAATGTTCATTTCTTTTAGACACCCTTTATATCGATCGGCTGGCAGGGTAAGTCGACGAAGGTAGACAAATCAATCCAATCGGTTCCGCAAAAATAGCAGACAGTTATTTATTCACGTTCATACGCTCACGTCACCTGAGGCGTATAAAACGTCGATATCACCTGGAAGTCACTATTGATGAGTTTAAACATTTCTATAAATCGGTCATATTCACAACTATACATATGGAATTGTAACATTTTGTCAAAGGAAAAATATGCATATAAATATTTCAATGACGAATCTCTCTCGTGCGCTCGAATATTTACCGTCAATTTTTAATATCCGTCGATTTTTAATTCACGCTTGCCACTTTTATCGCTCTTCGTATCTCATTCCTTAGACTATGTGAACTTTTGCCAGCGTGTATATCTCAATCTCGGTTTCTCGTAAATATTTTACGAACTCTCAGTATAGACCTCAAGACTTTTTCCGTGTAAACAAACGCGGCGCAACTCGATATTGTAAAAGTAGCACAACCACGAATCTGAATCTACTTTGATGTTGTAGCTACGACGTATCAAATATATAATTATATAAATATATATGTGAATACATACACACTCACCATATATTATTTTGTTATATATTTGACACGTTGTAATTATATTGTTTTATATATATATATATATATATATATATATATATATATATATATATATGTATGTATATATATATGTTGTACTTTGATAAACATTACAATTTGACATCACTAAACCGCACGACTGATAATCGCGAACGAATAGGTTTGTTTTTCGTTCACTGCTGAACTGGTGCAATAAGTTAGAGATAAGATGTACTTGTCTCACTCTAATTTATTGAACCAGTTCAACGTGCAGAAACAGAAAACAGACTCAATGTAATTACCACCGGCAATTACATTCAATAAACGTTAGGAATGTCGGACAACGGAAGAGAGCTTAATTACCTACTATAACGTAGTTACAAGCTTAGTACTACTAATTCAAGTAGACGTTACTCTTCTAGATCTCCTACCCCTTTCCTAGATCAATTTCTGAACGATCTCGGAAGGGATTTTCCGGTAACGCAGAAAAGGAAGGACCGGTCGATCCGGATTGGCGCCGCCATTCTCTACATACGATCGGAGAGTAGAATTCACAAATCTGGCGATCTATATGTCGTTCTCGCGACCCAGGACCAATCGACAATGAAGGTATCGTCGATTGGTCCCGGTTCAGTGAGTACCGTCTAATGGTACCAATCTAATAATACCAATATAACAGAACCAACATAACACCGCGTGCGCAAACGAAACACCTTATGGCGCTTTTCGTTCTAAAAGTCAGGATCGGCTCGAATTCGAAATCTAATATCGGACGGAAGCGACTTGAAGCAGACGAAATTCCGCCATGCAGTAGTAGCAGCAGCAACATGAACGTAGCCGGTGATATCGCGCAGCTGTCCTACAAGGAACTGCAGGCCCTGGCCTTGAGGTACCGCGTGCCGGGCAACATCAAGGTGAGAGCTGTCATCGTCTTGTCTCGGTGATCACGGCGCGTCGGCGCTGACGATGCGCCGGCTCTCCACCGGTTCCCTATCCGTTAATTCTGCCTTGTCTGTCCCTGCCCGCTCGCTACGTGGAGCAACCGATCGAGCTCTGCGTGGCTGATCATGCTCCGATCGACGACGACTGCGAAGTGGATCGCGAGATCTCACGCCACTGAGCCGAGGTTAATCGGTAGCTGATCGCGTGATTGTTTTGGTCGAGGCAAGATTTGATGCATGAAGAAGAGACGAAGCACTCTAACCACAAGAGCGATCGCTTCAAGTGGCCGATGCAACGTCACTATCGTCGTTGTCACCGTGCGAAGGGTTACTCGAGCCTGATGGGCGCTAATCGTCGTTAGACTCGCGTCTCTTGAGACGCTACTTCACTGTCTTTGTCCAAGTACTGCTACATTTACAGGTGCTTACAGTATCTGCTACAAGTGGACATGAATGATCGAAATAGCCGGCGCGAGAAGACTGTAACTATTGTCGTTGCCGTTACGAGATCACTCACACCCGGAGAACAGTTAGCTGAATTTACTTTCTATATTTGCACATTTCGAAATCACGATCAGAGAATCCTGATCGATATTAATCACTTGAAGCTGTCAGTGCAACATAACACAATTGATCCAACGACTATTCATCTCATTTGCACTTTCTACACTCTTTGTGTCTTTTCTCCTTTTCCTTTAATTCCCAAGACTGAATCTAAGATAAATGTCTCAGTAATTGAACATTAGAGATTTAATCTCTAATGATTAAAGCATTTAGCATATTTGTATTTAATACTTCGAAAAAAGCCTTTAAGATTTTGTTAAAAATTGTTTCTTTACGACATTTGTTATATTATTTAATAAACAGTCAATCATCGAGTCTATATTATAATTAACAATATGACCAATTTTTTTGTTCAATTACTAGTATAGCTGGCATTATCTAATATATCTTATTAAAATTATAATTGATATTTATTATTTCATTTTCTATTATTTTGTTGATTGCTGACAAATCAAAGTTTTATATAGATGTTGGTTTTGTTAACAAATAATTAGTTTCACTAATTATTTGTTAGCATGTAAAACTCATGCTTTCTCTCTCTTATTAGTTCAGTTATTGAAATTTCAGTCATTTACTTTATATAAATATGACAAGTGCAATAAAGTGCAGCTAAAATGAGCTGTATAATTGTCATTGAAAGGGTCAATTGTTGATTGACGTTAACATCATACTATTAGGTGGAATATCTGATCATATCTACTTGGTCTAAATAGTAATCTCTAAGGAAGCTGTAAATCATTTATAACAGTCATTATAAAACTACATAGATAAAAATTAATTGCATGCTAAACATCTAGTTTTTTTTTGTAATTTATAATGTTGCATTATTTCATCACCTAAAATCGAGATATATTTAACTTTCAATTAAATTGTATCTGTGTTATATTTATAAATTCCAATTATTTTCAAACTTGTATTATCAATTTTTTATCAGTGAATACATTTTCATACATTTATTTAAAGAGAGAGATTAATTATTCTTTAAATAAAATTTAGTTAAAATATCGACAAGAAGATTCAGTCAAATATCAAATACACAAATGCTCTGGTTGCATGTTTTGTGAATGCTTATATATAAAAAGCTTGGTTATCTCTTCTATTCCTTCTAATCTTCAGTTTTGTAAATCTTTTTAAGTAAATTTTTTTTAAGACCTGTTTCTTCTAACGAGTCATCGTGATTCTTAAATTGCAGAAGAAAGTTCTGGTTAAAGTGCTGCAAGCCGCCAGAAGCGGAAATGAGGCCGAATTCAGCCGACTGCTGCAAGAACTGAGGAAGAACCGTAAGAGGAAGACGAGGAAGCCAAAGGATTCAAAGCTCGGGATAACATCCACGCCGTTGCACAGTCCCGAGTATGTAATGGCTGACGATGACTATTACTGCCAGCAACAGCAGCAGCAGCCGCAACAGCAGCCACCTTATCAGTGGGTAAGTTGGTCTCTGACCCTACACTCTCCGACTCTTTACAAATTCTCTTTTGCAACTACAATTACACTAAAGTCGTTTAAAATCGCATAAGATAAATTACAATTCTTTCTATTTTTTATTTTCCGAAGAAAAGTTGAAGTAAAAATTATACCGTGTTACACAATTTTCCGTGTTACACAATATGGTTGTATTGTGTTATAGGCTGTAATAATTTTCAGACTTATAGTATTAATTTTGTAACAGTGAATATGTCTTCACACATTCATTTAGAGACTTTAATAATTCTTGAAACACGAAATTCAATTAAAATTTCGACAAGCTCCAGCCAGCGAAACGGCCATGATTGACTTCGGACAAAGTATTTCCCGTTGTTGCAGGTTGGCGCCGAAGAGGAGATTATGAGCAGGGATGACGACAACAAGATCCCGCATTACGACGAGTTCAAGCAGTTCCTGCTTAAGAGAATTCAGCGTGAGTTTCAAACGTGCGACACCAACAACAATCAGGACTTGAGCATCATGGACTTGCGGACAGCGACAGGCATATCGCCAAATATGCAAGCGATCTCTCTCGACGTGTCAAGTTATTCCAAGGCGAATATCATCAACAACGCGGACCCGCTCGCGATGTCCAATATGGACAGGCCGAACTACCAGGTGCTGAAAGAGTCTGAAAGCAACTCGCAAGGTCCGTTCTTGCTGAAGAGGATGTTACAGGCGCCGGTGGGCGCTAACTTGGGCGAGATTGCCAGTTCGCTGTTCTGGGCCAGTAATTTACTGGATAATTCCGACACTCTGACTGCTGAATCCGAAAGCAATGAGAACGAGGATCAATTGGAGGCCACCGTCAACGCCACAGAATACTATGGTCTACTGAAGAACGCTAAAGGAGAATTTCTTTTGAACGAGGCGAACCTGAGGAATGTGGACGCACTGGTGCCTCAGGGCTCTGGAGTTCTCACCAACGAGGATCAGTACAGGTATCCCGGCGACTTGGACAATCGTCAGAATTATCAGAACTGGACCGTTACTAGTGTAATGGAGATGCCCGAGAACGATCTACAGTCGTCTAAGATGTTTCACACGATTTACTACAACAACACGGACTCCGCCGTGGCTGCGCACGCCACGGATAACAATCTTCCGTATCAGTATCAGACCAACACCGAGACCTGCAATGGGAGTCAGAACTTTCTTAACTTCGACACCGGCTACACGACCGGTAACGACATGATGACACCTAACGACACAACTGACATGTATTATCTGCAAAACTCAGGCAAGAATGGCGAAGATATCGGTGCGGGATATTTCCGCGGTGTCGAGCCGCTCGTGCAAAATTGCGCGCAGCAAAATGTTTACGCGAACGATCAGCAGACGTTTTCAAACGACATACGCGGCACCTCCGAAGTCACCTATCAGTACTTATATCCACGACTCACGCAAGAGACTAATCACACGTTGCATGAACGTTTGGAAAACCAACAGACCGATAACAACATCATGACCGGAGTGGAGTGTGGTATCAATCAGGCGACCAATGCAGCGAGTATGCAAGGATTGTCGAATGGTGCGCGTTTGTTTCACTTATTTATCCTTTTCAAGGCCTGCATAGATTTAACAATCGCGTTAGCATATCTTGAAAGTATCGTTCATAAAAAATATTTCGTACAAAAGTCTTACTTTCGTTGCGTACGCGTGCGCGTAATAAGCAGGCATTTGTTTTCCGTTGTAATTAATTCGCTCGATGCTTCATCAAAATCAGGAACAGTGGAGCCGTTTTGGCCGAAGTGGACCACCCAGATCAGCAACAATTTGGAAAACATCCTCAACTACAACGTGTCAAAGCAAGTGGACTACACCAAGCTGGGCCAGACATCCTGCGTGTATTGTTACATGGCGCCGATCGTCTCACAGAGATCCAGCCTGGCGAACAACACTTGCTCGCAATCGCGGAGATACACCGCCGAGCAGAGACAACATTCCTTCTCAGCCTATTGGATGCTCTATAATGATACCTCGCAGGGCATGCGAATGACGAACATGTCCAATGATCATCAGCCCGAACAATCTGTGACGACGGCGACGACCACAACGACGATGCACGCCAGTACCATGCCTAGCAACGACGATCTGAGAGAAACCGACATCGAGATTCCGATCAACGACGTGTGGATGAATCAGTACGAGCCAGCAGGGATCGCCGAAGACATCAATGTCCAAGCGCCGGACTCGCTTTTTTGCAACGTTACCGCTGTGCGGATCGACGACATTACCACGCCGGATATCGCCAAGACTTAAGGTACGGCCACGAGTCGTGGCTCGAAGAAGAATGGGCAACCTTGATGTCCGAGCCATGGAATGTCAACGAAGGATGTTCCCACCGGGAATAATCGCGACTCTTTTGTTTCCATACCGTGGATATGTAACCGCGGACTGTTATTACACCGGCTCGGAAGTAGAGCGACCACGAAGCTCTTCCATCTTCGAACCGCGCTTCTACACGACATCTGAGCAATTACTTTGCGAGACCGCCGGCGGCATAAGCTCTTCCATTTCCACGTCAACGACTGACACGTACAATTATTTCTCTGGTTTAGAATTGGAGCGGGCGATATCCAAGCCAGAAATCAATACCAAAGAGAAATGGAAGCAGAATAGTCGATATCATCTCGCAGATAGACGTTCGATTTTATCTGCGAACATATACGACGTCCCTCCTCTGCCTCCATTATATTCCTACTTCCTAGAGAGATAAACGCTTCAGGACTAAAACGACCGGTGTCATGCTACATCTTGGAAGTAGAGAGACAAACGTATCTTACTCCTGAACATAAGGCGATTAGATTCTTATGTTGTTAAATATATTCGGAGCGTTATTCACGCTAAATCGTGTGTGATACCGCGCGATGTGAGAATTTATGTTTTTTTCATAAGCAACGGATATCTTGAGAATTTTTATAATTGAATCACACGCGATTCTTATGTGCTTTTTCTTGGATCACGCAGTGACTTCGCAGGATATTGTATATTTAATTATAAATAAAAAAATAAAGTTAAAGAGAGCATCAGAAAACATATGTCTACACTTATATGAAATAGTTATAAAATAAGCTGAGGAATTTATACAGGTTGATCATAAATAAATAGAAAATTATTAAAACTTAGATAAATCTGGCAGTAAACTTTTTACGACTCACCCGATATGGAGTCCGGTTGAAACTGTGAGCGGATATAGTTCTTTAGCTTCACAGAAATCGATTCCTTTCTTCGACCTCTGTACGCTCCGATTTCGCTGTCCATGTCGCCCGTGTTGCTCTTGCGCTGAGAGGATTTTCCCGGTGTCACGTGTACGCTGTACATTTTCGCTGATACGTCGTTGATTCGTGGCAATTAAATCTCGCTTCTATGAGAGAATGAAGTTCTTAAGCCGACTGACTTCACTTTCAATGAAACACTGTGTCTTTAAAAAACCAAATTGAACCCGTTACAAGAATAAAGAAATTCGAATGAATAAAATTTGCAATAGTTGAGATTGAGAAATCTACAGAACGTTGCTTGGTATATATGACAATAATTAAAAATTCAAAATTTTTCCTAACAGATTTTCATTCACTCCTTTCGATTCATTTATTTTTCGTGAAATACATCAGATTTTTCCACGTTTTTTTTTATTCGCGACCTTCTTTCATCGGCACGTTTCGTGGGAGCTTAAACGAACATCGGATATCTTCTGATTTCGAGACTTTCTCGCGTTCTTATTTTGCGTCAAAGCGTCGCACGGACGCGAATGATCGGTGATGCGAGTCGGCGCGCCGTTCGCGAAAGACTGCGCTTCAAGTGCGTTAAAAGGAAGCAGGTTAATACAGCAGTCGCATTATGTATATACATATGCTCGAGAGTGCAACCGGGTTGCATTTGAGTCGCACGGTTTTAATGAGGTACTCCGAGCGCGCCACTAATTATTCCGGCATACATACTTTTTTCGGTGCCTTTCCAAGCACTTACACGCGACCGCGTATTCCGCAGGGACGCAAAGGCTTAATTAATTAACCGGTCTTAATTAACCGCGCTTTTGACAGAAGTATTATTCGGTATGAGTTACGAGAATTATATATTCCGCTGACGATTTCGATTACGAGACGAAAGGTTTCCGTCCACCATAAGACGAAAACAGATATTATTTCTCATCAATAAGTTTTCTATTCGGACCCTGTTTAGTTACACAAACCAAAACTTTTTTCCTGTATATACTAAGATCATATAGATGATGCATGTGTAGTAATAAATGCTATTCGAGTTATGTCGTCTTTTATCGGGAATATGTATTAATTGTGTTTGAGAAACGATCGCGAAACATTTATTTCGTATTTATTACAATAGTCTGTAATTCTTCTGTTTATCATAATCCAGCAAATCTAGAGTATTTGGAGAAAACGTAGTTTATAATTATACTACATGATCAGTGAACATAGTTAAATTTCAAGAGCAAAATTCATTTACCCTTATTTTTCTAATTAATCCCTTAAAATATCGATTTCTACATCTAAAGTTATTGTTGGGCGACCACTGGCTGTGTCTCTTCGACCGTTGATATCGCGGGATATTTTCCATCGTACCAATTCCCATCCAAATCCACCGCGCGATTATGGTTGACGACGTTCGCGAGACATTCTTCGATTGCTGCGTCGATATTCTCTGTAGTAATGAAAGTGACAGCTTCCTCTTTGAATTTTCTGATTTCTTCGTTGGCTAGTTTTTTCAACTTCTCCTGTTCTTCCTCTATTTTCATCATTTTTTGAAGGGCTTTTTCTTTAGAAGCCTCCCTCTTTGCGATCAACCTGGTCTCTCGTATCTCCGCCACGTGCGCATTCCATTTGTCGTTTATAGTTTTGCATATTTGGAAATCTTCCTCTTGCTCAAGTGTTGTTTCACTAAACTCTACATTACTCTTTATTGCATTTGCCTCTATGTGTGATCTGAAACACACTGCCTGTTAACAGGGAGAATTTTACGCGAGAAAAAAATACGCGAGAATTTTACTGTTTTAAATATTTAATCAGTTGATTCAAATATAAAAAATGATTTTAAGTTTAAAATATAGTCTAGACTATATAATTAAGTGTTGCTGAAATTTAAATATAAATCAGTATTGCTAATAAATTTAAATATAAATCAGTGTTGCTGATAAATTTAAATGCTACAAATTTAATTCAGTTTTGTTAATAACTTGCTTTTAACAATGTTCATAACAAAATATGATTGGTTTGTTTTGTAACTTGTTAGAAACAATTATTCTCAGCAATTTCAAATAAGACCATCTACATTTATCACTAATATTGCCAGAAATATATATTATTAGCAACATTACTGTTGATATAAACCATCTTTAAGATTTGGTCTGTGTTCTTTTCAGCTGCACTGCTGAACAGATATAATAAGTTAGAGTAAGAAAAAATATACTTGTTGCATCAGTTCAGCAGTACAGCTGAAAAGAACAGATCACTGATATCATTGTCCAAGTACCTAAGTGAAGATATATATGTCCTATAAATATTATATAAATATTTGAGCTCAATTTCTTCTTCCTTAGGTATGACAGGCCGTTTTGGCACATGAAACATTTTGCTTTTTGATGGCGGTAACCAAATTGGCTTTCTTTTCCAACGTATGCTTTGTGTATAGACAGAATTTGGAACGAAAGATTCATATATATTTGAACTCTTCATTATCATCCTCATGGCCTGCATTATTCTTGGATCTGCAAAAAAAATTCTTAGTTAAGAAAATTATCATATATTATTGTAATATATTGTAGTAATTAAATGTTATATTTATTCTTATGTTTATTGTTATATTTATTCTTATATTTTATTCATATCGCATTTTTTTCAAATATTCCAAGATTTTTCTAAACAGAAATTTTTGTATGCAATTTTTGTAATAGTGCATAAACGATTTTTAAGAAATTAAGTTTAAACTGGAAAAATGTAATGTAATACAATGTTTCTAAGACATTTAATAATAAAGAATATAATCTTTAGTGACAAATTTCACACATGATAATTAAATAATGAACAGCATAACACACCTCAAAGTAGTTTCAATTGTTGTTCTAATTTATCACATCGTATAAAGTGAGGTTATGGTGCTATTCCTTGCACCAGAGAGAAGCCTGAGAGCGGTCACCAGCTTGATTTTAATGGCCAAAGCTAAGCGCTAAAGTCACTTGTTGCATTCCAAGGTTGCATTCCAAAACATCTTTTTCGAGGAAAATTTTACTCTTAAATCTATAGTTTATGTTACATACACTATAGACTTAAGAGTAAAATTTTCCTCGGAAAGAACGTTTTGGAATGCAACCCAAGATTGCATTTCAAAACATCCTTTCCGAGGAAAATTTTACTCTTAATCTATAGTGTATGTAACATGAACTATAGATTTAAGAGTAAAATTTTCCTCGAAAAGATATTTTGGAATGTAACCCAAAACATTCTTTCCGAGAAAAATTTTACTCTAAAGGCACCTTTAAATTGTATTCCAAAACGTTCTTTTTGAGGAAAATTTTATTCAATATCTATAGTTCACGTTACATAAACTATAGTCACGAATAAAATTCCTTTAAAAAGGATGTTGGTTACCGGACATAATCCATAAAAAAAGAGGGGACAATGTTGGCCATCTTAAAAGTCTCTAGGTTCCATAAATTCATTTCTGAAAGTTAATATTACTGTTGCACGTTAAGAGTATGTATAGAGGTGTAATGGTTCCTGCACACAGGACGCGGTAATGCTTGCCGCGCGACAGCCAATCAATATGTTGTTTTTCCGTAAGAGCTAGAAGATTATTACGGAAAGCAGCATATTGATTGGCTGTCGTGCGAACTTCCGCCGCGCGGCAAGCATTACCGCGTCCTGTGTGCAGGAGCCATTATTCGTGTTGTTTGCATTCTTCGCACTTTTCGTATTTAAAACCAAACAAAAGTATATTGGAATGTTTGGAAGAAGCCAAAGCGAAACAACCAACTCGATTGTTTCTTTCAAGCGTCTGATTAGACGTCCATCTCTTTTTAAAAGCGAAAAGTATGAAACATGCAAGCAGCACGAACAACCCCTTTTCCCTAAATTTATTAGGGAAAGAATCGAGCATCTCTAGTACTTTATACATATAGTGACTTTAACGTCTAGTTCTGGCCATTTGAAATCAGTGGTAGCTGCTCTTATGTTTCTCTCTGCTTGCACCTATAAATAACATGTTACTAAAAAGGTTTGGCTTTTCGCGCGTTGAACATTTTCAACGCGTTTCAATTAAATAAAAATTGAATATCCATTTATTCTCTACACATATTTAGTTGTGTTTCTAAAAATATAAATAAAAGTTTGAAAATCCGAAAAATTTTAAAATATAATTTAACTTTTGTAAAAGTTTAGTTTAAATTTTGTGTAGAACTTCTTTGTAGTTCAAATTATACATTAAATGTGTCTTTAAATCATCTTACAATATATTCTGTAAATGTTTTATAATGATTTTTATACTAATATCAATATCTTTTATGATCAATATCTTTTGTGACTGTAAAAAAACGTCACTGAACATTACAATTAAAGTTACATACAAAATTCTTGACATAGAAAATATACGAATTTCACAGAAATGTGTTCGATAATGAGAGAAATAGTTATAATTTATAGAATATGTTTTATTGAAAATGATCGTGTATAATGCGACGTATCTATAATGTACAACAACAAAAAGGATTCCGCAAACACATTCATTCTCTCGTATGGTTTTCCTCTTTTTTTTTTTTTTTACTTTTTCTTTTGAAACAATTAATAGTGTGTTCGCACTATATTAGTTATTCTAATTATTCTCGTTATATTAATGCGTAATTAATTAACCTCGTCACCACGCGGCACGACAATATGCATCCAACACAAACACAGATAAATCTTATCTCAACAATCGACTTCTAAAAGTATTATCGCCGTACACTGTTACATTATCGTTATTGTTTTTTCTTTTCTTTCTTTCTTTTTTATAAATATGCCCGAAAATGCGCTGTAGAAATTACTTAAAATATATCTGCATCGACGATAATCACAGATATTAATTTGTATTCTATACAATCTTGTTCCTGTTTTTTTCTCTTTTTCTCTTTATCTTCTCCATTACGCATCATTCGCGGATCAAATGTAACTGATGCATCGGTAATAATTAAAAGATCTACAAACCGAACAGGATTGCAACGTATATAATTCTACCTGCATCGTAATTAAATGTAATTAAATTACGTAAGGAAACAATTACACCTCTCTTACGTACGGGGCGTTCCGAAAGATCCACGAGCTCCGATCGACCGAAAAATCGCTCTTCAATGTTTTCGATGTTAGAGTTAATAACATTTTCGACGTTTGTCGCTGAATAAGAGACCTCGATTAAAATTAAAAAGACAAAAATTAAACAAATTAGAGGCTCTCAACACGAATCAAAACAAACAATTAATAAGACAAATAAAAGCCAACAGCCAATCTCAAAAGCGCACTTATTAATTTAATCAGACCAATGTACAATGGCTTATATTTACAAAAATTCATTTCGGTCCCGTTTTGAACTCTCTTCAGTATCACAATTAAGCTACCCAGCCAATTTTTGAAAGCTCTCTAATATTAACTACTAATGTAATATGCCTATAATATACCATTAGATCTACCAAGACAGATCTGAAAAAATAAATGCATATTGCATATTTTTTCTTAACTACTGGTAGTATTATACTGCAGAGACTTGTGTCTTAGCTATATATATATATCAATTATTACTTACTATATAAAGCAGTATATATACAGCAGAGGGGAATATGTAAATAGAAATATGCAGAAATATATATAGGTACACACGCATATATATATATATATATTTCTGCACATGTATATTTCTATTTACATATTCTCCTTTGCTATATATATACTGCTTTATATAGTAAGTAATAATTCACATATATAGCTAAGACACAAGTCCTTGTAGTACAATATTACTAGTAGTTAAGAAAAAATATGCAATATGCGTTTGGCTTTTCGTATCTATCTTGGTAGATCTGATGTACAGGCATATTGCATTAGTAGTTAATATCAGAGAGCTTTCAAAAATTGGCTGGGTAGTTTAATTGTGACATACTGAAGAGAGTCCAAAACGGGACCGAAACATTTGAATTTTTGTAAATATAAGCCATTGTACATCTATTGGTCTGATTAAATTGATAAGTACGCCTTTGAGATTGGTTGTTGATTTTTTAATTATTTGCCTTATTAATTGTTTGTTTAAAAAAAGACAAAGTTCCACTACGCTTCTCTTTCGGAACACCCGGCGTAATCTAGAAAAACTTTCATTATATACTTGTTATATACTTTTTTTTTAACGTAGCGTGTCGTAACATCGTATCGTCGGGATATCTCTTTGGCTTGGACGCAGACAGATTTATGCTGTTCGTCGTAGAAACGCAAGTAAGGGGAGAAACAATCCGTCTGTGTTTCGCAGTAATTCTTCAACGTAGGCGTTCGCAATAAACGCATCTCGCAGTTTTTGTCTCGGCAACCTTTTGTCGCAGTGGACTTCGGAATTGAAGGGCTCTGGGCAGTACCATGCTAAAATGTTCCTCAAATCCGAGGAGCGCAATCCTCGATCGCAATGACGATGACTGGAAAATTATGCTTAACGTGAAGACGATTCTTCAACAAACATCCGTTTTACAAACTCAAAACTTTCCCCGCTTGGAGACCGCTCTCACCTAAAAGCAACATCTATTAAAAGTCGTGTTCAAGACTGGCAGTATTTCGTGTATGTATTCGTGTATGGTGGCTACTGAGGAGCTAGAAGCACTACCGTACGATTCGATTCTACTTATACTTAAGAGTTTTTTTTATCAAAAACGTTTGATTACAAATCGATAAATAAAGACAAACTATTATCGATCCCGCACTTAGCATGTTGATGAGCCCTTCAATCGTGAATTTGTGAGATTCTTACTTCTCTCATTTGCATCGAGTTTTTCGCGCGGTTTAGTGTTATGTATAAAAAAATTCGTGGCTTGTTTCCAGTTGCCTCATCTCTTTGTCGCTTTTATATCGTTCTACGCTACCGGGACGTATCTAAGCACCACAATGATCGGATTACCATTAGAACTCGCTTAGATGTTTAGAACTACGGAATTTTTCAAAGTTCGTAGAACCTTCGTAGCTAATAGACTTCTAAGGTACGCTTGGGGATCGCATTGATCCTTAGATCCTCGGATTTTTTAGAGCCTCGCAGCCACTCCTGGATTCTCGGATCCTCACAATCTCTCTCTCTCTCTCTCTCATCGAAGTCTGAGTTTTTATCGACTCTTTTTAGACCTAAGTATGTCCTTGAAGTATCGACACCAGTTGAGAAAGTCTAAATTCTCGGCTCGACGGGAGTTCAGGTTCAGGTTCTTAGATCCGTACGGACTTAGTTGCTCTGGAGTTAAAAATACAGTCTTGTAAGAAAGTGTCCTAAGTTTTACATCTGTCCTTATTACTGCACGAAAACGATGGCACATGTGTTCCTAGCTTGGCTGCAAGCAAGAATTTGTCGTCGACGAATACTTGAGCTGTGTGTACACTTCATTGGTCGATCGAAGGAAGGCATTGTGTACAGGATGTGCGTCGGCCGATTACAGAATTATTCTTCAACGACAGGTTCTTTCTCGCGACGTTACGTTCGGACATGCCGAGATACAACTGTCGTTGAACAAATAATACAGTAGTCGTCGGACATCCACTATATATGTATTCAGAGTGCAGGTTTCCTCGAACTTAGCTTAAACGGTAACGTTTTACGTTTAAATCCTCGTCTCTCCATCCGCGAGCAATTTTCCTCGAGTCAAATCGAAAATTGCTCGTCTTATTCGCTCCGCAATTACGAAGGCTGAGTCGCAACAAAGAAGCGAGAATCGGCAAATACTATCGTTATCATAAACAAGCGTTAAACTCTGTCCTTCTGTTTTTCCTTACGCGTATAATCAATTAGAATAAAATGCATACGCATATGCCGGAGTATGTATGTACAACGTGCGACAAAGATACCGATACGTCTCTGGTAACCTTTGGAACACCTTGTGCACGCATACCGTCGAATTTGGTCAACTCTCTTTCTCTCTCTCACTCTTAATCATTCTCTCTCTCTTCCCCTCTCTCTCTCTCTCTCTCTCTCTCTCTCTCT